TCTGAAAACGTCACCTACTTAAGAAGCAGGTAAGGAAAAAAGCAACAACGATGTGGGAACGTTTTATAAAACAAATTTGAATCCACGAAGAGCACCTGCCAATTATTTTGATAGGTGCCCTTCGTGGACTAGGCTGGGTGCTATTCGTTCAGGTGCTATTCGCACAGGTGCTCTAGATGGACTACCTCTACACAACAATCACGATCACGACTAGTATTTTCAGGTAGGGACTTTTTGCATGTTATGGAAATTACCTACTGAAAAACAAACAGAACAAATATGAACTATTATGAGTATTATGCTAAGTAACATAATGCATAAGTAACATATAATTTAAAAGGAAAATGATTGTTACAAGCAGTTGTTTAATACTTAGATGGCAGATACTGTATGAAGACGTTGCAGAGAAAGTGGACGGTGCACGGTGCACGTTCTTCCTGCAAGTTTCTAACGACTTCAATTATATTATTGTCTGGCGTGCACTAAACTGTACGTGTATTGTACCACCATAAACTTTATGCAACTAACTACAAAGCTTAGTAATGTGGAAGCTCTGACTCCCGATTTTAGTTGCTCTATACTTAATGGGTTTTAGATGTCTTGTAGAATATCTATTGTTCCCGAATTATCTTGAAAGACAAGCAAAACTATGTAGATACTTTATACACATGTACTATCGAATTATTGATACAAATATCTCTCTTTCAGTATGACGTTCTAGTATGACGTTCAATTAAAAAAATGCATTTGATAACTATTTAATTGCCTTCCTATATGTAGGTATTATATTCCTTATCCGTGTGAGAATAGGCATCTACGTTGGCAGCCCATCAATGTTATGTCTGTGCCAAATAGAACTTTGGCATATGTTCATGGGGCGCTTACACAACTCTAAGGTTTAATAGATCACAAGCATGTCAAGGATCAAAGCTCTGCAATTATTAAAACCACAACAGCTTCTTTTACCTTTGTAGCACTGGATTTGCTGACTGTAAAATGAATGTTACCTGTGAACTAAATCTTTTTATGCGCTTTTATATACGTTCTTTTACTTTTATGTGTGTTTATGTTCAATCACACCTATACCGTAACAATAAAATAAGCAAGCAATTGTTTCCAAAACGTCCTCTGTGGGCGTTATCTAAGTAGGTAAGTACTTAGACACATCTGCAGCCGGTCGAAGAATCCGCTATGTCCAGCCTTACGTAACGTGATGTTACCGCCGATAATTGTGCAATGTCTACCAATGTACATTACATACCTTTGTTACTAACTGTCCACTAAACTATGACCTATATAGGTAGACCTAGCCTAATATATTTGTAGGTAAGGTATTTAAGTACATCACAAAACAACAATGTAACGATATGTAAGAACTAATTACTTTGGTACATACCTACTGTATCATTTATGTTTAAATGTACGAAAGGTAATGCTGGCTTATTTGAACCCAATGAAATTCTTACGAATCTTTGTGATTAACATCCAGATAGTTGGTGAATTGAGTGAAGGATCGGATGCCGATGTTGGAAGAAATATTGAAGATTCGACTCCCGCGTGGAGCCCTACTTGATTCATAAATTGTTTAGAAAATCCTAGTTTAATGCATTTATAAAAAGAAAAAAATCACTATTGGATCGGAAATACGCAGTGTAATTGCAATTTGATTGATCAGTTACTTTTAACAGTTTAAAAACTAATATGAAGTTAATAACCATACTTTGTTTTGCAATCCCTATGAAATCGTGATAATGTTTTGTCGGAAGAAGAGGATGCCAGTTTCCTAAGCGGAAAACTCGCCAATACATAATCTTTTAGGGTTATGTAGTAAAATATAAATTTTCAATTAAGAATTGCACGTAATCATTTGAAGTACTAGCTTCTGTCAGAGGCTTCGACCTTCCCGCGTTTCCGTTGGATAAATTATATAGCCTATGTCTTATTCCAGACCATAATCTATCCCTAGTCCAAATTTCATCCCAAATCCTTCAGCCGTTTTGACGTGAAAGAGTAACAAAATCACATACACATACATAAACTTTTGCATTTATAATATACCTACCTAAGTAAGAAAGTAAGACAAGATGCGTGTACTACCATCAGTACCTATAATGATTTTAATAAATATACATGCGATAAAGGTCTGTTTAGGGCTATGAGTATGTTATGTACCATCTAGGTAAACAAGAGTTAAAACCTAGTTTAGGTATTTTTTTAATTTTCGTCGTAGCCAAGTTTACTCTAAATTCAATTCCTAATACCTAATTTACCTAAGTAGGCTTTGATGTATTGCGTAGCTGCCTAGTCTACATTGACCAAGCGCGGAACACGTCAGTGGATAATAAATAATTTACATCCTTTTTATAAGTCTTTTTACACGACATTAGGGTTTCTCTATGAAAGCTAGGAAAAACCATGTAATTAAGTGTAAATACGAATAAATTATCAGCCTTCACCTCAAATTTTATAAATAATGCGAATTAAAAACCAACTTTGGCCTAAGTATTACAAAACTCTTGAATTTTATCAGTGTTTATTTGAATCTTTTGAATAATATGTATTATTTAAGACATTTAAACCAATACTATTTTGAATGGGAGATAGGTTCCTTTCAGCCTGTCCTAAACATATCCGGCGTAATTAAGATAATCTTTGGTAAACCGATAATATCTTTATCCTTATGGTAGTTATTGATAAGAAATACACAGGAGAACTTGCATGAAAAGGATTTTTGTACCATAAAGAATAGACATTAGACTGTATAGAAGAATTTTCAGGACCATGTGTTTCGTAAAATAAAAAACCCATGGTCGTAAATGCAGTTTATGTCTTCGTAAATTATGTCTTATATTTACCTATATATAGGTATATCTATCAATTCGATCCTACCAAAATAAAGAAATGATCTGTTCAGAAGTGTTTTAAGTTGGTACTCCTAACAAGTTCCTAGGTTTTTAATATCCTAAGTACTTACCGTTTTCCTATAATTTGAAATTATATTTTTTCATTAAACGGTAACAATTGGAAATGCTAAATAAAAAGTTTGCCTATCCATATTTTTCATATAGAAAACTTTATTCATAAATAGATGCAAATTATTATGTTATAATGATAATAATACTTACTTTTCTTCCTTAAAAACTATAGATTACTCAGCAACCATAAAGTTATTGACTCACAACACTTGGTCTGGCAATAGAATCGTCGCCAAATAAACTTTACCGGTAAAGTTCAATCCAAACTTTGTACGAGTTCGTGTTTACGCGGTCGTCATGGTAACGGATGTAAATACAATATGGCGCCGAATGCGCGCGCGCCTCTGTGAACGAACGCAGACTGGCTGCGCCTGCGCCGGCCACCGACCACCACCGCGGTTCTTCAGAAAGCGAGAGGAAGAGCCCAGGCTCCAAGCCAGTTTTTGTTGTGCGAGGACAAGTGCATGTTTCCATTACTAGCATTGATTTGTATGCATACTGTAGTCTCTACTACAGCGGCAGTTTTTGTGGGCGTAGCTTGTTAGCGCGACATCTCCTATTTATATCACGCCAATTAAAATAAATCATTGATAGACGATAATGATCCATCCTCCTAATACATACGAGGAAACCGGTTACACAACTTCCGTGAAAATTTATCGTTTAGATTACCTATGCGAGTGTGGAGACATGCGATATATTTGTTTGATAGCAACAAGGCCGTGCCTTACATTGCACGGAGATGGCCTCGGCCGATGAGTTATTATTATAAACGTCTGGGACTTATTATATCATACACTTCAGTAACAACAGGTAAGTTTACAGTCACGTTGAAATATGATTCAATAATCAGTATTATCAATTTATGTAACAATTCTAATATGAATGACTAACTTCCTACGCTTTCCACAGGAAATAACTCATAACCCACCTCGCGTAGCGCAGTCGGGTAAAAAGGAAAATGGATACTGTAAGTAGGCAAGGTAGACTAACGAATGAGTTGGTTAAAATAAACGACATAATTATTTTCACATAACTTTATATTTGAATGAGTAACTTTCAAATCCAATCTCCCATTTAATAATAATAAGAACATAAAGCTATACACAATTCAATAAGGTTTTATATTTAAATAATTCTGACGAGTTACGGCATCCGTAACTTTGCGTTAACCTAGGTATGTTGTTATTATTACAAAGCAACATCATGGACAATCTTTAAACAATACATTAAGGTTACAAATTAAAACTATCGTACAACCTAAGTCCATTTCATACAAAAAAGTCCCCGCTTCGGAGTGGTGTTAAAACAAGGTTGCGTGGATTATGAAATGGGTAAATTAGTCGAAAAGGTTTACACACCGATTACAATACAGTAGGTAATACATGCTACACAAATGTTCGATAAGTAACATTACGTGGGTACGTTAATTCTGTAACAAAATTATAATTTAATTAATTAAAACAAATGATATGATGCATTCTTGTAGCGTTCGGCACTAGGGTGCGACTCGCGTGAATAAACTCTAGCCAAGTAGCGTAATATTGAGGCGAACAGACAGGCCTTCATTGTACATTGCGTAGTGCGGAGAGATTCACGATCCTATGTAGTGTCCCGACAATATTACGCTACCAGTATAGATATTTATAAATATAATACTAAACTAAAAAAACATAAATGTAACAAAGCAGACTGGAAGTTAATACGAAAGAAGAATATTAGTACAAGCATTGAGGAGATATTAGAAGAGAAAGAAAGCCAACTAGTACAATCCTTAGTTACACTAACATTCTGTTGTATAAAATATCACTACAATGTACAGACTATTTACAGATTAGTAGGTACAATTATATATTTCATATTGACAATAATTAACGATGACTATTGACTATGCAATTAAAATCAACACGAAATTGTTATACAATATCTACTTTATTTATATGATTTTTTCACAGTATTTTTTATAACGGGACTTAATCTAACGTACTGATAGCACCTAAACTGTTCAATGTACATAATCGAGACTTACACAGTATTGACCACTTGGTCGAAGCACTTTGCGACAAACTGTTCCTTGTCGTCCAACTTTCTGACGTCATTACCCACATGACGTGTTAGCATAGCATCTTGTAACGCGTTCAGAGCTTCAGAGGTGAACCTCTTTCCTTTAAGATGAGTGATGACTGACGCTTCGCCGTGGAATCCAGATTCCACGAGTCCTGGAGGGATGTTAAGAGTGACGTCGTCGATGAGACCCTTCTCCACCGACATGCTGATAACCAGCTCTTGTGTCGCAGAGTAAACCTTGGAGGGAGCGAGCAACTCCGCCGGCACGGGGAAGGTACGACTCACTGTGAACACCGGTGTTCTACCGAAGTTCCAGTCCCAGGACTGAAGCTCATTTTTGATTTCCGCAAGACCTGACGAAAAAATAGAAAGATTAATTTACAATTCACATAAATCATAAGTATAAATAACTATTTAGTTCTGATGTCTTTTTACTTGTTTCATTGATCTTGTAACTGTTTTAGCTTACCTGGGAACCAGTCATCAGTAGGGTTGATGTATTGGAAACCTCGCTGCTTGGAGATCTGTGCGGTACCCCCGTCTTGCAGGCTCAAGGCAGCTGTGCGCAGGAACTCATAGCCGACGGCAGTCTGCAGGCTGTCCACGGTAATGCGGTTGTCCATCTCTGCCAGGTTGGCCACTTCAGAGCGAGTGGATGCAGTCGCCTGAGTCTGTATGCCATGCTAAATAGAATTAAAAATGTCCTTCTTATAAACTGGAGGGGAGGTTGTCAAGTCAAGGTCAGTAGTATTAGTAGAAGAGTTAGTCAAGAAAAAACAATCACAACAACCAAAAGGTTAATAAAACAATGAATTTTGTGAATACAATTTGATTTGTCGAGAACATTGTGCAATATAGAATATTGCTTTGCGCGTGCAATTCAGTATTGAGTGTTGACGCTTTTGTTCCCGCAACGTAAAGTGATGACTCACAGGTAAACAATGAAATGCAACATGTACGACCTGTGACATTACTGAATATTCAAAAAAGCATACTGGGCCTGCTTGGTACCAGCATACTAAATACATCGTTATATTTGACTATTAAATTATTTAAATTCATTACAACAACAACAGTCAATTTATGGGAATGTAAATCGAGATAATGCTAAGTCAAAGTCCAATCTACATGAAGCAGTCAAAATTCAACATCTGATGAAATAAATTACAGTGGGTGTAAGTATGGGACTAAAAATACTGATAGCGAAAATAGGTCAACAGCCAAAATAACATTGATAATGTACTACTATGTAGATGACACACAAAAATAGAGTTAATTAGAAGAAGTGAAAAACAAACATATTAGTAAGTAGGTAGATAATTAAAGAAGGCAAGTTTTATAAAGTTCTTTGAACTAAAAAAGGTGGAAGCACACTTATGCTGTTCTGATCGCCGTACATCACGTGACACCACTTCCGAGCGTACAAGAACCTGGCTGGTTTACTAACTTTGTTGTAGTGTTATGAGCATAATCAAATTCAATATTTTAGACATAAGTATGCTTAAACCTTAAGTATCCAGTCTTTTATGGAGATCGTTACTCACCTCACGTTTAGCAAGGGCTCTGCTGAGATCTGCCTTATTGGCATTGACTAGAAGAGTGCAGTGATGATATCCTGTCAAACGGCCAAGCTTAGCAGCTGTTCCAGATACCTGATAATATAGATGCTAAGGAAACTAATTTCAATATAAATATTGGTATTTTTAATGGCAAAAGTTGTTTTTTGTTAACTTTGTAATCCCAAAGATAGACCCATTTTATTCTAAAATCAAACCTTCTACTTGTTTTGATTGACTTTGAAAAGGATACTTTGTATTTATCTCGAACGATCATATCTTGGCGTTCATTAATGATGGACTTGATCCCAAAACCTCTGAAGAGTGCTCTCTTGATCAGCTCCAAGTTGTATTTCCTGTCGTACCTCTCACGTGGGGTGAAGAAAGTGATGTTGAGGTTGCCTCTGTCATGGTATACAGTACCACCACCACTGTTGCGTCTTGCAAGAGCTATTTCCCTCTCATTGAGAAGAGGGATGTTAGCTTCCAACCATGGATTCTGATGTCTTCCAATTACAACACAAGGTTCATTACGCCAAACCATCATTACATGATGGTTAGTGAAATCCATGTTACGGTACATCCAGTCTTCCAGAGCCAGATTAGTAAATATGTCCGTTGATTGGGACATGAACACAGACTTGGTGATCTCCCCCTCAGCCGGTAAGTCGCGTTCCTTCTTAGCATTTAAGGTCTTGCTTGCTGTCAGCAAGCTGCGAGAGCTGGTTCTTCTTGTCAGACCCACCACAAGGCAGGCGCTGCTAGCGACTATTTTCTTCATCATTGATTGAGCCATCTCTGAATGTTATATTTGTTTTAGGAATTAGATAATGAGTTCTCAAACGGATACTTTTCTGTATGAACTTTATAACCACACTTTATTAAAAGTTAATTACTTAATTATTATTATTTACCTAAATAAATTGACTAATAACAGTTCAAATTGTCCATAGAATGTTATAACCTAGTGCTTAGAGCAACAGGCGTCAGTATCAGCCGACGAGAGGGAGATCAAATATTCGTGAAGTGCAATTGTCTGATGCAGCCACTTCCACGTTTGGTGCAGGGTATTAATTCGAAAACGAATTCCCAAACAGTCTCGACAGTCACTTGGCATTCCTCTTCTTGAATGCAGAATGTACAAAAAAATCACTACACAATTACTCACAAAAACAAAACCCGAAAGGATTCAAGAAATTAAATCAGATTTATTTGCGTAAAACGACAACGAATTACAAAAACAATTACTGAGAAAGAACCGAGAACAGTATGTGATCGCGCCACGATATCTGATGAATTAAATGAAATACCTTCCGCCGTCTCATTTTATTCATGCTGATAATGATAAGCGTACTGGGGAACTAGGAGGTCGAGCGAGGTCATTCGAAGTTCAGTCCAAGACAAGAAAACAAACAAGTTGATAAGAAGCACGAAGTAGCCACGCGCACACAACCTTATCACATTTGTCTTGGACATTTAATATTACAACAGATAAGTCGTGTGTTACTTCTAACCACAATTGTAGTGCTTTTTATTACGTACCATTTCATATTTTAAAATAATTCTCGTTCTCGATTGTGCTGGAGTGCATTTGAGTAAAACAAGGTTACTCTTATCTCATCATTGAAGTGTAGTTAATGATGAAGTATTCTGGGTAACAGACTCATTTTTATGAATTCTAAATAATACTTAATTTCCAATTTCCATTGTTTGGTAATTTCAGTACAAACATCAAATCAAACATTGACATTTTATACGTACTCCTGGATGTCGGCTGACATTTGACATTTTGACAGAAGTTACTGACTTCCTGTCAAAAGAAAAACAATTTTGATGAAACAGGCATTTTGTAAATTGAACTGTTTTATGCTCTACGCTCTACAGGGATGATGGAATTAATGGTTAATTCTTATTAGAAACTATTTTGGCGCTCCACTTTAGAATGATATTTCTCATCAACAGCCTATAAGTTACCACTGCTGACCAAAGTCCACTTCTCGTACGGAGAAGATTAATTGGGTCAATTTAACCATTAATCCATAGACATATAAGGATTTATAAGTCTGTGCATTAATCTCCGTCACCCATCACCACACTTGCTCAATGGCGGTTGGTAATTTCAAACTTATATTTAGAAATTATAAGCCCTGGTTGAGATATCCCTAAATGATGTTTTCTTTTACCGTTTATCAATGGACTTGCCGTTTGGTAGGTTTCGAACCCGCACTCTCATGCATGAGAAATAGACATCTTAAACCTCCGGGCCGTCGCGGAGAACCTAACAGGTTACCGGGGCTCCAGCTCGAAGTGCAGGAAAGGAATTTTTTAGATTTATTTATTTATTTAAATATTTATTTATTTAGTAACCCTAAGAGCGCAGTATAAGTTTGTTTTACATTATAAAGTAATAATTGAGACCGCATTTGTCGCTCTGATTCGCCGGTACCCAGAACCAACGAATCAGAGCGCCGAACGAAAAATAGGGAAAGTACTGATTGAAAAAACGAAAAAATATAAAGCGTAATAAAATTGAATTAAAATTATTCATTAATGGGGGTTAATGTTTTTTGTTGTTTTTTGCGGTTGTTCAATCACAGTAGCTGTCAAAGATTGAACGTCCAATCGTGTGACACTAATGGATGGATAACGAGAAATCCATACTAGCGCCATCTAGTGAAGGAAATACGAAAACTGATTGGAACCAATATGGAGCCTAGCTATTTATTCCAATCACTTTTTTATATTTAGAACAGCTAAACTATTAAATAAAAAGAAAGTAAAAGAAAACAACAAAAATTATACCCTTAATTTAGGCGTCAAAGTATTCGTCCGCATCACTATCACAGGGGAAAGTTCCCAGAAGACTGGCAGCATTGCCACGTTGAATGGCAATGCTTATTTTCTGTCCGAAGAAAAAGCCAGCCCTCTGGTCACATGTAGAACAGTAGTTTTTCTGGTAGTCCTATTAACATGAATGAATTATTTTCTTTCTCTTTGGCAAGTATAATTTTTTTTGTCTCTGGACTGTATGATTACAAATGTCAATGTCACAAAATGTACTAATGTCAATTGTCAATGTGATTTTTGATTGAAGAAAATTGTACGCGAGAGGCACGGTCGAGGTTCGATCGAATATTATATTTTCAAGCACTGAGATTACACAGTTTCGAAAAATATGGCTTTTAGAACCACCAGTGTTGTACTAAGTAAGTAGTAAACATAAATAATCATCATAAGTTACTCAATAACATTACTTTAATAATAATGTTATGTAACTTGCTTATTTTCAGGCAACATGAAGAGATGGGCCTACAATATGTCTGGTTTTAACAAATACGGTAAGTTTCTAAACAAATTTTATCAGTTTAGGTTTAGCCCAATACTATAATCTATAGTATCTTCATTACACAATGAGAGAGTCTAAACATGAGCCCATGCCCACTGATACTGAACATGACATGACATCCTTGGAAAATCCTTAAAGATAATAACTACATCTTTCCTCTTTGAACATTTGGAATAATATGTTCAATTTTTGAAACTAAGAAACAGGGCAATAGATAGACCAAGTTCAGTAAGCTTCTTATCGACACCTTCGCCATACACTTTGAATATAACTTCAAAGGTATGCCTCTGTCATTAAGTATATATAAGGTTTGAAAATCTGACATCAAGAATAATAATAATTTTTTAACATTCCAGGTCTCCTTCGTGATGACTGTCTTCATGAGACCGAGGATGTGACGGAGGCACTCCGCCGCCTCCCACAACATGTTGTTGATGAACGCAACTTCCGCATTGTACGTGCCCTGCAACTGTCTCTCACCAAGACCATCCTCCCCAAAGAAGAGTGGACTAAATGGGAGGAGGACCAGCTCTACCTCTCACCTATTGTAGACCAAGTGAAGAAGGAGAGACTAGAGAAAGAAAACTGGGAGAAGAACTATTAAATAGCAGTTGTTGTAATGTTTGGTGTATTATTATTTAAATAAATTTAGCATCGTTCAATTTGTAAATAATTTTCCCCCTATATTTATATTTTATTTATTCAAAGTTGTATGCTACTACGTCAAAATATCTGCAAGGCTAATTAAATGATTCATCTGAAGTAACTGTATTCTCTCTAATTTCTTTTTTATTACAAACTAATTTTATTTTCTAGACTGCAAATTAACTTTAATATTGGAAGCTTTTGCTTTTTGTGCAGATGCAATATCCCTCATAAAAGTTTTTAGAAGGGACAAGGAATCTGTATCCTGAGAACTGCGTAATTTTACAAATAACCTCAGTTCAATAACAATGAAACATATGTATAATAAAAACAAATTTATTTTTCACAAAATACAAAATAAAATACAGAATTCGAAGAATGTAATATAATAATTTCAAGAAAAAAAAACAAAGTATGGCAACAAAATATATTATGGCCACTAAGAAAGATAATTTAAAATTACAATATAATAATATGTATATTACATAAATATGTGGTCCCTTTTAAAATAACACGACTTTTCATAACAACAATATTAAATTCCACCTTTTCATATCAACAGTTGGCAATATTTCAAGTAAATTAAACGAGATAATTATGATCATAACACATGTCACAATAAAATCTATATAAAAACAAATTCTCTAATACACTATGATCAATAATAAATAAATAAAGATCAATTCAAGAGTATAAAACAGTGTATTATAGTTTTACCATGTAACAAGTGAGATTTTATTCCAATTAACTTTTATATAAATAAAAAAATTCAAGGACCTATTTAAAAAAATTGAAGACGTGATATGAATTAAGACAACCGCATTTACATTAAATTACTAAAACTTACTGATATAAAACAAAGTGTGACCGTAAGTTATTATAAACTTATTGCACTTGATATGATACATACTTTATTCAACAAAAAACGTATACTTATGAAAATGCTATTGGAGCCAGCCAAAAAAGTCATTGATAATCTCGAAATTGTAATAATAAAACTATTAATGGAATACAAAGTAATATCTTAGGAGTACCCCAAGGTCCAGTTGTGGGTTCATTTTTTTTTATTTCATTCAATACATTTATGATCGTTTGCATTCATACAGTATGATGTTAGCATACATTAGTATAGTCTGATAAAAACCTTGTCCAATCTCAACACTTCTAAATTACCACAGGGAATAGTACAATTACATTGGGCACTATTGGGCTACCTATAAAAGGAAGAGAGCTAGATTGAGAGTAATATTAACATTTTTCTTCAGTAAAGCAGATAATTCAAAAGAATTTTAAGCCCTAAACTTTAGAATGACTCAGTTTCTATTAAGTTCTGTACAAACATCCATTATGTAATTCATCTACAACATTATTTAAATAGACATTTAGAAAAGCAGTAGAGACATTGTAAAAACGACCTTGTAGCCTTATACAGAGAGAAGTTAATAAAAATGCATTTGTAATATTCACAGAATCTAAAGTTTAAATCTAATGTATGCTATGAACAAGAGAACATTTATTACGACGACATATTATATTTTTGTTCGATATAATTGTGTATTTGTTATGTTTAATCTGATTACTTACGTACTGTACCACTAAAATCCCTACGAACTATTCTACTATGGTATATGTATAGTAATAATTTTATTGGTTCAGATTGGATAATATAATGACAAATTGTAATATAAAATCGGGCGAGATCTTGAATTTATTCTACGAAGTACATGCATACGATTATGGTTTAATGGCCATAATTCACTACTGATAATACAGGGTACTATTGGAAAAACCTGTAGATATCCAACTAATAATTATTAATTACACATGCATTCAAAACTTTCCACTACAGAATAAAAGTAATGTATAGTCTCAGAATATATTTATAGTCTTTTGATTAGGAATTACTTATAAGAAAATCAGTTTTTTTTCGAGTAAATAATGATGGAATAAGAAATATTTTTATTATTTCATTTCATGATATAAACCATTAACTTCTATGAGTTTATAGTTTTTGCTTTTATGCGAGTAATCTGACGGACGGACTGCCATTTTCTCGGTCGGTTTCAATTTCTGATTATGTCTGCGTCTGCCAAAGTATTTCTAAGAAGATCCGAAAACTGATATATGCGATGTCTTTTACTTATAATAAAATACAATAAACAATTATTGAGAAAATCATGAGCAAAACGTTAAAAGATACAAAAATAATGTTACTTAGTAACTAGAAAATATACTTACATAATATGGCAAGTATGTAGACTGTTCAACAATATTGATATGACGTACAATATGATATACAGAGTTCATTGCCGACTTTTTTTTTATACCACTACAGTGGCGAGAAAAGCGCACGGCCCACCTGATGGTAAGTGGTTACCGTGGCCTATGAATGCTTGCAACACACACTACATAGTAGATTATAGTTAGGTAAAATGTATAAACTATCTAAAAAGACAATTAGATAAAAAAATATTTTGTACAAAATACGAAAAAATGCAAATATGTTTACAATTTTTACAATTTTCTCTACACATAATTATTGGCAACTTTGTTTCCGAGTAATAATTTTTCTTTGGAAAACATTATTGTATTTAAATTCGAGTGTTGTAGCCCTTACAGTTCCTCGTCTCCTATGGCTTCGAACGCGTTGTTCTCGACGCACTCTCTGCCGGGCTTGAAGGAGACAGTCGTAAACTTTTCTGTCAACTTCTGCACAGAAAATATCTCTCTCGAACTACCGGAGGTACCAGAGTCTCCGTTCTGTAAACATAATAAACTATGGATTTACCAACTCAATAAGCTAAAACAAAGTAAATAAATATATTTTTCAACACTTTTTCATTCAGAATTGATTAGGATCATCATACATACAAAGGCTTGTAAGTATTATCACTTTCTAAAAATTCTAACCTAGACCTATTGAAGTTTAATCAGAGCCAGATAAATACGATAATAAACGTACAGTAGAGCTGAGCGTATCGCTGGAGGAAGATGGTGTGATGACTTGACTGGAGCCGTCGCGTCGCATGTACGTCAGGCTGCCTCGCTTATTGCACCGCGGTGATGCTGGGCCCTCGCCTGCTTTCTGGCGCATCAATTCATCCACGATTGACTGAAATTAAATTAAATAGAGGATTAATAATTAAGAGAATGAGGGTGGATTACTTTTAAGTAAAAAAATAAAGATAAAACGTTCAGAATTCAGATCACACTCAGTAATTAATCACATGCAATAAGGAAATTGTGCGCCGTAAGACGACTACTTCTGAACAAAAGCCCCAGGCACTCTCAGAGAAACTGAAATTCTGTTATGAGAAGTAACGATTGAAGAGTTTGGTTGGTTGAACATGCATCTTTTACTGATTAGGTAGGTATTTCATATATTAAGTGCTTGTAGGCACTAAATATAAAGATAACAATACAATACACCCACACACCTGTAAACAGACGCTAATGAACGTCGCATGTTCTGTCCTCAAAGTAATCCACTTCAAGTTGTCCTTACTGATGAGATATTCAAATGACAACTCAAAGTTCCTGTTAGAATCCTCTAGAAGGGCACCGTGTCCATTTTGAGCTGGCGGCCTTTCAATCTGCAACAAAAGGTTATGTTAATGACATAAACAATGAGTAATGTATTATTTTTAATTAGCAACTCATTGTTACTTTGGAAATAAAACAAAACTTACAGTTCCCGCACTCAAGTGAAGGGTGTACTGACGCCACATACAACAACTTAATATAACAAATTACTTCGGACTTGCTTATCTCTGACTCTCGACTCGTTCGACGGTTACTCCCCTTACTACACGAAACTTTCAACGTAATTGCCAATAAGTTATTATTACATTATGTGTCTCTGCCGACCTCTTTTAGATAATAAAAAGTATGATGTAAAATTATACTCACAGTATGAAGAGTAGTGATCCTCCAGCATCGCATCCTGGTAACTTTGTATCGCTGTTCTCGTGCAGGCGGCGTGAGGCTGAGCAGCGTAAGCTCCTTCGAAGCGAGGGACACGCGAACTCGACAAGTGCCTTCCGGAGCCCCGTCTGTCACGTTTTTCAGCTCCGTCACCGCCTCCCCTGCTGGTATCCTCCCATAGTGGCGTAACGACTTTGCTAGTTCTACATACTGTAATGTAACAATAATAGGTTTATTACTTTATGATGTTATTATTCATTTATCTAATAATTAATAGGTCTTTTGGACCAGTGGAACCGGTTTAAAATGTTATTTCACCTGTGGAAACCAAAATAAAGACCTATACGCCTATACCTATCACAGGCAAATTTTTAGAAAATAAAAACGGATAAGAAAAATCCTATTTATTTTGTAATACCATGAAGGTGAAACCGTGTGCGAAAACCTAGCATAATAATCAAGATAAATTTCCGCATAGGTATATGCGGACGTGAAGATACAAAAATTAAAAAATGCGCTTCTAAAGTCAAATAAAGATGTTTTATTTTTCAATGTCACACAAATGAGTGATGATCTCATTCACTGACATTAATCTAGCTTGGTATAAAACACGATAAGCAGAAAGAAGAGAGGTTTGTTAAGGAAAATGGCGTGAAATAATCCTGAGATGAAATTAAAATAGCACAAACAAGATTGAACTAAATTATTTAAGTATGGCGATGATATTAAAATAACACCACTATTCTATATTTCAGTCACCAGTTGTATAGCTTCTATGTGAACTTTGTACAAATAAAAGTGTCCGCATATTCTATATAAAATAGAAAATAAATAATAACTATTTCACACCTTGTATTACCACAAAATCAGGTAGGTATGCAAATCATCTTGCTAACCCTGACTTCAAACAAACTGTTAACTTTGTTGATGATATAATTACTTTGTTCATAGTAAATTATAATTGGTACTATTAAAAAACTTATAAATCATGTAACATTACGAAACAATAGCTGAGTATATTGCAAATACTAAATTAGTATGAATTCTGTATAATCAATTGATTTCTAGTAAATAGTTGAAACATAATACTGATGTGCAAATGATTCATTTTATTGACTTTGAATGATATCAGACTGTGATGACACTCTGTGTGCAATGTGCTGCACTGCACTGTTTATTTATTGTGTACAGTTTTAAATAAATCGTTTAAACTTTTTGTACTTTACAAGTCACAAATCATTTTCACAAAACAATGAACAATGAATTGAATCATAATCAATCTTAAACAATAGGAATAACTATAATCTACAAAATTAATGCCATAGAAATTGTCCCAAGTGTGCAAATTGTTGGTTGTACCATTATCGTAATTGGAGCAAAAGTTATAACAAACAAAACTGAATATTCTCAATTAACATAAAATTATTTGAAGATTCTAGATAAAGATGTTTATAGTAAAAGCACATTGTAACTCAGTTGTGACCATAACCTCTCGCAGTTATTGCTTATTGATAACTTGAACTGACATCAAGTGTGAATGGAATTTAATTAGTTCAGTGAATTGAAAATAAGAATAAGATTGTAGGTATTTTGTTTTGTAAAGTATAATACTAACCAATCAGTAATGTCTTGTTATTCTATATTCTATTCTTGTTTGCGAAAACTCTTAAGTTAGGTTTCCTTTCCATTGACGCGGAGAAAGGCAGCGGAGCGGAGCTAGCGAGTATTGCTGAGCGGAGTAACGGACTGTGCGGAGCTAGGCAGAGTTTATGCACCGAGTCATTTGAGTGGAGGGCGGCGGTCGGTCAGTTCAGTCATACACGGCATATTACGGAAAACAGACATGATGTCGACGCAAAAGTTGAAATGTTAAGTACTACCTACATTGCTCGATGAAGTAATGTTAGACTCGGAAGAAACTGAAGTTACTAAAAAACATACTATATTAATAATTCTATATAGATTCGAGACCGCTTCTTCGCCGCGCGCTCACTCGGCTGCCCCGCTCCGCCGTCTCGCACCGCTACCACGCGCCGCTTTCAAAAATGTTTGAATTTTTAAAGTAGCTCGCAAATCCCTTTCCACTAAAGCGGAGCGGAGATTTCATTCATGAATTCTCCGCGGCAATGGACAGGCAGCCTTAGAATCTAAGTATATCAAAATGTACTTGTGAAAAGAATTGTATAAGTAGCTGTAGAAATTAGCACTTAAGTACTACAAGACAATAAAATAAACAATAGTAAACACAGGGCCGGATTTAGGGATCCAGAGGCCTCGGGGCATCAAAGGAGTGGAGGCCAAAGGAGTGGAGGAAATAATTTGGGGCAAGGGCCCCAAATTATTTTCCAGATTGAGATCGAGGACGCTCGCTTGATTTCGAGGACGCTCGAAAACGATCGAGGACGCTCGATAGATTTCGAGGACTCTCGATAGATTTCGAGGACACTCGAAAACAATCGAGGACGCTCGAAAACGATCGAGGACTCTCGATAGATTTCGAGAACGCTCGAAAACAATGGAGGACGCTCGAAAACGATCGAGGTCGCTCGATTGATTTCGAGGACGCTCGATTGATTTCGAGGACGCTCGATAGATTTCGAGAACGCCCGATAGATTTCGAGGACGCTCGAAAACGATCGAGGACTCTCGATAGATTTCGAGGACCCTCGAAAACGATCGAGGACGCTCGAAAACGATCGAGAACTCTCGATAGATTTCGAGGACGCTCGAAAACGATCGAGGACGCTCGATAGATTTCGAGAACGCCCGATAGATTTCGAGGACGCTCGATAGATTTCGAGGACGCCCGATAGATTTCGAGGACGCTCGAAAACGATCGAGGACTCTCGATAGATTTCGAGGACGCTCGATAGATTTCGAGGACTCCCGATAGATTTCGAGGACGCCCGATAGATTTCGAGGACGCTCGAAAACGATCGAGGACTCTCGATAGATTTCGAGGATGCTCGATAGATTTCGAGGACGCTCGATAGATTTCGAGGACGCTCGACAGATTTCGAGTTGAAGATTTCGAATTGAAGAATACCAATTGTTCACATACTGCAATTAATGGTCGAGACACGGAATCGAATAGCCAACCTCCGAGGTTGCGGGCAAGTACCATCCCACTGAGCCATTGAGCCATTGGGGTACTCCCCCAAGATGGGTAGTAAATTGGAAGTGCTTATCAGAGCCATTTGAGATTTTGATATTTCACTGATTGCCGGATTGGAGTGAACAAATATAGATCAATGATTTCTGTTTCTGTTAATATTTAAAATTAATATAATCAAATAATCATGTATCTATAAAGTACTTTAGGCTGTAGGTAAAGGTAAAAGCGAAAAAAAAAAATCAAAGGAAAAGATGTTTACTAGGTTTACTAGTTGAAATTTGAAAATTTTTTTTTCCGAAGTCTCTATTGTGGAGGCCCCCTGCTTGTGGAGGCCCCGGGGCTTTCGCCCCGGTTGCCTTCCCCTAAATCCGGCCCTGAGTAAACAGTGGGTATCTATCTCATTATCATTCAATCAGATGGCTTACAATAATCTGTTTGATATGCAACAAACCTATTGATTTATTTATCATGTGTAAGATATCATCAGAGTTACCACCATATGGTGAGTGAATCACCTTTGGTTTTTAATAGGTGAATGATGCAAATTATCACAGACACAACACACACATTTAAAACATACTTTTTTACAATTATGCTCACCTACCTCTCTCTTTTGTTTCTTAGATTTGTATGATGATAGCATGTCTCTAGTTTGTGGGTCTGCTGTAATCCATCCTAAGTCCAAGTCTTCTATAGTTTGCAGGTACAATAGGTCCAAAGACACCCTGTCTATCATTAAATCAACATCATAACAAGGATCCCAGTAGCTGTAATAAAACAACGATAAATATTACCATCCACTTAAGATTTAAAAAAGTTTATGATATTGAAACTTTGTTGGAAATTACCTTTTCCTCAAAACAATTTTATCTTCTGGCCTAACATACTTTTGAGATATGTAAGGAGATTCATATTCTTCCAATTTTTTTAATGCTGGTTGTCCATCTTTTGCACAGCTCCAATTAAAAAGGTATAAGGAAAAGTATTTTACCAGCTCCTTTGGCAGGTTTAGTTGGGTGCATACAATGTCTAATATTGTGTTTGATGAATCAGTAGAAGAGACTGACAATGGTATTCTGTAACCATTCATCAGTGATATTTCAATCTCTACCTCATGCATCTTTACACCATGCGTTTCTTGTTGAGCCGAGAACAGGAATGTTACCAGAAGATCTGATGTTGTGAACAATGGATTCTGGCCGACTAAAAAATAAGTATTTGTTTTAATTATAACTTTTTACTGAATATGGTACACAAACATTTTATCTTCTAATGATTTTCCTGTAAAAATCTGTTAGGTAATCTGCAGTGCACATTATATTATTATAGTTATATTTTCCAAGTAAAAAAACAATACTTATCATTTGTTGTTCAGTTATAAGGAAATACAGCAACTAGACCTTGAGAGGATATTACAGTCCTGTTAAAAGCATAAACTCGCTTTGCTTAGTAGACTTGCTTACATAAAATAATTACTATAAGATAGTTCTATTTCACACAAAACATTCTTTAAATAAATAAAAAAGATTAAATAATTACCTAGTTGCATATACTTTTCCAACGAGACCCTCCTTTCTTCTAGCTGCGAGTTGGTGAGAAATAACTTTTTGGGTGGAAATTGTGGCAGTTTAACATAGGGATTTTGACCTTGTAACTGCTCATGAAGGCTGAGCAGCTGTTTGTACCTAGCTGTGCAGTGGAATACTCCATCAATATGTATGTTGTAGCCCTAAAAGAAATTAGATGTAACCAATTTTTTTAAATATACTTTTCACAAAATACATTCTTAAAATACATCCAATTCCAAAATCTAAAGTTTCGAACATGTATCAATGAAAAAAAATAGGTACCTAGGTATCTAAGTGTAGGAACTAAGTGTAACTTACTTCAATATTAATTTACAATTATTAAGTATATTTTTCAGATATTTTTTACATTTCAATGTTTATTAAACAATAAACGTAAAATAATAATTACCGTGTAAGAGATTCCATTGTCGTCGTGAAATTGTTGCAAATCAGGAATAGAAAAATGCATTTTTATTGTTGCGAAATATGCATAATATTTTTTATCCACTAACTATTAGTAAAACAATCAAAAATGTTTTCAATATCACAAAAGTAGTAACAAATCGCCCACTTTTTAAATTGTTTTTTCCAAAACACTGACTTTCCCACAATCCGTTCAAGACATTACTAGAGCTGCACTTTGGCAGTCGAATTTATTGAATAAAGACTTGCCATTAGCACAATAAACTATCGATATCGAGACCTTCTCTAATCAGTTGTTTTTGTTGTATACTGTCTAAAAAATGTTTTTTGATTATTTTGTCAACTCTTTAAATGCAAGTATTTAATTAGGCTATATTACCATTTTTTCATATTACATTTTTGTTTTAAAGGCCGTCTCATCTATATGGCGATGCTAAGATTCCTTATTACAGCCTTTGTACTAGGAAGATACACATTTTTTTTACATTGTTTAAGAATTTATACATTTATATGTTTGCTACTTGCTATAGTTTTCTAAAAACAGTTAATAATTCTCGAAGAAAATCTTGTTAAATTTTATTTTTTTGATAATATAAAACAATCACACAATCCGATAAAATAGCAACACAGCATATTACTTGTCAATTTGTCATCACTTGCTCAGCTGTTGTAGTTTTATTTTGATTTGTAATTTTAGCAACTCATTATTTGGCGAATACTTATTAGTATTGATGAATTTTTATAAGAATCATAGAAACAAAACAAATTTCTAATTTGTTAGATTGAGTGAAAATAGTGCTCGTCTACGTTTACGTTGAAGATAAATAATAGGCGAGGTGTAATTAAAAATGTCTAATCCTTTGCCGGTTATAACTATACAATGCGATTGGAACGATATTATAAAGTAAATATAACTTATGTAATGAATATTACTTTTCCCGTTTGCCTTTGCCCTAATTCAGGATGTCTGTAAGACAGCCTCTTTCAGAAATATAAAATTGCTACACATACATACCTACATTACACAAAACTCATACTTTTTATTTTAACTTACAGATTACCCAAAGGAAACGCTTGGATAACTTCAAAAATATTAAATGAAAATGGTATCCATGATAAGCTTTCCACTATTCTGAGTGATGGGAAAGTGAAAATTATGTTTTCAGACAATTACCAATACATTTCTCATGGACCATTGAGCTTGGTAATAAAACACATACCCTCAGATCTCAAGGTGGCCTTCATAGCCCCCTCAAAAGCTCATAAAATTCATAGCAAAGGTGTGTTGTCTGTAGCAGTAGCTGAGAATGCTTTAGCTGTGTCATCGTGTGAACAAGATAAACTTGTGGTTTGGGATAGCAGGACAGGTAACTTTATTTTGTATTTCATTGCCTTTAACTTAATAGTAATTCTAGCTGTTTTGCAGTTTCACTAGCACTACTTTAGCTTACTCGGCCAACAGAGAAAAGTAGTCTATATGACTCTCCAGCCTCTCAACAATTTCCAGACTAACCCGTTTAAAATTGTTGAAAATCATCCCCTAAATTTGTTTATACATAAAGTCTATAATATAAATACAGTTTGGAAATAAGGTCTATAATGTAATTAGCGGGTAAATAACCATATCATAAAACCCTCTTTAAGAAAGTAACAAATAAAAATACTTGAGGATTTACAATGGGGTAGACGACTAATTTTTATTTTAATGTCCGTCTGATAGATTATTTAAAAACATTAGACACATATTTTTTATTTTCTCACAGAAACGAATAGTGATTTGAAATGTCGCGTGACGTCACTTCTCAGTACATTTTATACTAAGAAATGACGTTTTAACCCCCACTCCTAAACTTTGATTCGTTTTATCTAAGTATTGTTTTATTATACGACAAAATAAAAAAATACGTGTCTAATATTTTTTCATTACCTAACTTACGGACTAATTATATTTTTAATTTTCATACCCTGTCATCATCCCCATTCATAATATTAGTAAGAATTAGAATAGGGTCACCTTCAAAACAGAGTAAATACAATAATTTACTAAACTAATATTCCATGTTTTTAGGTGATCTAAACCTCGAGCTGAAAGGCCATGGTGGTCCAGTTTACAAGTGCAGATTCTTCCCATCAGGGATTGTAGTGTTATCTGCCGGTGCTGATGGTTCCTGCAGGATCTGGTCTGCGGAGTCTGGAATTAATCCTGTTACTTTGAAGGGACACACAATGGCTGTGTGTGATACCTGTATCATTGAAAGAGGAAGAAATGTTATATCTGTTAGCAAGTGAGATAAATATTTCCAGTATTTATTCTGTACTAGTTACTCGCATGGTCCCACTTGGTTTTTGGCTCCAATTGGACATTGTAGGATTTTTTCATCAAACACAAATAAATTCGAACCGGTACCTACTGATAGTTTCAGATTATTATTATTGCATTCAAAACTGTTCTATCTTTTTTATATATATTTGATGGGCCGACATTTGACCACTATGTCTCCTGGTGGTAAGCGATGATGCGGTCTACAATGGAGCATGTCGTCCTATAAGCAACCTATTCACTCGGGCTTTAAAACACCTGGGTTCATATTGGTATAGATATTTTGCTTGTATCTAAATTAATGCCTACATTTACAGAGATGGTTCAGCAAAATTATGGGATGTTGGTGAATCAAAGTGTCTGGCTAATGTTGTTGAAGGACATGGACAGATCAACTGCTGTGCCCTCTCCACAACTAGTGAGGAAGTTGAAGTTGAAAATGAGAGAGAGGTAAAAATAAGCAACAAATCATCATAATAAGAGTATTCAAAAAAAAAATTACAAACAACACTAACATACATACATACATAACTTCACGCCTGTCTCCCATGGGGGTAGGCAGAGACTAAGGAACGCCAATTACTACGATTCTTACATACCTCTTTCGCTTCATTAACAGTCATCAATCTTTTCATGCATGCTCGTCGGTTAAGGGTACTTTTAATTTGGCCCTTCTTTAATCTGTCAAACACCAAGCGGTCACCGGTGACCGCGACCTATTGTTCTTTAATTGTGTCTATAAAACCGGTACTCGACGAGTTAATATATCGCAAAACAAAAATAAACAACACTAAATCCGTATGAATACTATCTCTAAACATCAAATCATGTTCACTAGTATTAAGGTGTGTCCAAACACGGCGTGCAAGGTGCGCGGCAGCTTCGCGCGGCATTCGCGGGATATAAATTTGCCGCGCGGCTAATTTAGTCCTTTTGCGCGGCAGTGCTACGCGGCATGTCCGAGACACGCCACGCTGTTTATTTCGAATTCAAACCACAATGAAAGCGGCCGCGTGTATTGTAGCTCTGTTTATTATTCGTAAATTACGTAGAAGAAGGAATAGAAGAAAGTGTATTAAATAAGGCAGTGTTGGATGCGATCACCCCTTTTCAACAGAACCGAACCAACACTAACACCGTCCGCGGCAAGGTGCCCGCGCGGTAGGTCGCTCGTGGCTGCCGCGCGCGGCAGACGTTCAATCATATTGCGGCTAGCAGCGCGCGGCAGCCGCGCTCGAATGCCGCGTTTTATTTGGACACACCTTTACATATTGGGACCTATTGACCACAGAAACAAACGAAATTGAACTTTATTGTAATAACTTGAATGTAACATTTCAGGTAGGCACAAATAACAAATTGCTGGTAGTAGGATGTGAGAGTGGACAAGTAATCTGTTCTCATGTGGCCAAGAGAGCTCAAGTTTATACTAAGCAGTTGGATTCTGCTTGTAACACAATCATTATCTTGGACCAATCTATAATTATTGGCTGTAGCGATGGAAAGGTAATTTTTATTTTGACATTTATTGAATTTATGACGAAAAGTACTTAAGAATTTTTTTTTATCAATACAATGTGTGAGCTTACAGGCGTAATATTTTTATGACATGAATTTAAAACAACATATTTATGTGTTTCAGATAGTAAAATTAAATCTTGAAAATGGATCACTATTAAAAGAATGGCATGAATCAGCCAGTCCTGTGCTCAGCATGGTAGTTCTGACCAATCAAATGTTTGCTGTGGGACGACAGGATGGCACATGCACTGTGTTCACTCTTGATGAGGGTGACTCTAAACTTAGAGTGCAACTGACTGGTGCCGACTGTGATGGCATCAGGGACCTCTCGTTCAATGGCAAGTGGGTATTCGCTGGCTGTAGAGATGCTATGGTGCGGAAATACGATTTTAATCAAATCAATGTCCATTTCAAATAAACAAACCTTATAATAACCTTATGAAATAAGACTATTTATGTATAAGATTTAATATACCTTCATCTTGGACATTTATGATAATTTTATTTGTTAATATTTGACAATTTTGTTATTAAGTAGGTAGTTACATTAGGGAGTGTAATAATGTAAATGTAACTGCAGGTAATATCTCTTTCTTGAATTGGTGTTTTATTATCTTCGTCTAATTCTGTCTTTTCTATCACACGTGCATATTGCACAATATTCCGCTGCTACAATCTGAAATAAGACTTACTTATAAAATCTTTGTATGATAGATTAATAAAATCATTGAAGTGCTTTTCTCATACCATTTTATGTATCTCCACACTCGAGTTCTCAATCTCACACATTGTTTCCATAATGGTTTTAACTACCTTGGAGGGTTTTATTTTATTTGGCGAATACTAAAAAAAAAAGAAAAAACAACAGTATCTTTCTTTTTCTATTCAATTCGTATTGGATTCTTACCTCAACATTATTGTACTTTGATTTCAAATCCCTGAAGTTAGATTCAGTACGTTTATATAATTTCGTCCAAAGAATTGCATCTTTGTGAATATTTCTCTTTAATTTAAACCAATCATTTGCGTGTCTTTTCGCTAAGCCTGGACATATCATTTCTTAAATTAAGAAAAATACGTATTAATTATAATATAATGACTTTTGTTACACCTACTTAAATTAAATGGAATTTTTACTTACTTCTTTGTTTCAATAAGTAAATAGTTTCTTGGCATGTGTCATGTATCCAGTGACTCCACATTTCTAAATTTATATAGGCTTTTTGTAAATCGTGGCACCATTTGCGCATATCGGCTTCTGTCACACGAGTAGGTGTTACTGAAAATGAACAGTTAGACAGCTTCTTAACCGACTTCCAAAAAAGAGAGATTATTTCTATATTTCTCATTATTGTTTGTAAGTATAAGCGGAACAAATGATCCCCCAGAATTAAAAAAAAAGTAGGCTATTATGATATACATACTCTGCTTAGGTATAGATTCGTCACTAGGCTCTCCATGGGCAAATCCCCATGCCGTCACCCATGAGGGAGCAGTATGCAGTTGAACTCCTGTTGAAAACAAAAACATAATTATATTAAAACAATTAGTAGGTACGCTAAATGGACAGACTCCTTAAAGATTAAAAAAAATCGGTGGTTAGCGCAGTGGATGATAAGTTAACAAATCAGCGTTTTGATGGCACGCAAGCATCACGTAGAAAGTTACCAATAGGTATAAAGGGTAAAGTGGTAGTACGGTACTTACGCCAGCCACAGTCTGAGAGCGAGGACGATTTGTGATAGGATGATATTTTGTTACTTGTTTTATTAACTCTTCTGGTAGCTCTTCCACTAAGTGAACTGTCAGTACTTAAAATTTCAGATTCAGTGTAATCGAGCTCATGCTTCTTGTACTTAGAGGAAACCACAACAGTTTTATCACTTTTTCTATCCACCGTCTTGAAACTGCTTTGTACAGTGCTAGGTTCAACTGCAGTGGGTTCTTTGACCTCTTCAATCAGTTCAAATGTTTGTATTTCTGTGTCCTCTTTACTCATCAAATTATTTAAGTTGTATAAGAAATTTTCTGCTTCTTTTGTTGTTATTGGTGTTACTAGGTTCTTATTAGTGCCGCTTTTTGGTGGCGATTTTAGTATCTCATCAATTTCCAAAATATTGCCCAGGGATGAAATTGATTTATTTACGCTCTCAGTTATTTTTAATGTAGCATCCAAATCAGCAGGCCAAGCCTCATCTGCGTCACCTGCGTAATAAAAATGCATGTATCGGTAGAGGGAGCCGTAGACAGATATATTAACCATCGATTGGCAGATAAATTAAAGAAGGGCCAAATTAAAAGTATCTTTAACCGATGAGCATGCATGAAAACACTGATAACTGTTGAGGAAGTGAAAGTGGTATGTAAGAATCAATCGTGGCGGTCCACAGTTTCTGCCTGCATGGGAGACAGGCGTGAGGTTATGTATGTATTACATTCATAATTAATTTATTGACGTTGAAACAACGATATTTTTTATCGTTTGACTGCGACTGTTGTACTGAGCGTTAGGATAGGGATTGCTCGGCGAGATAGGGACCGTGGAAAAAAGATAATGGTACAGTCAGCCAAACAATGTATAAATATTTTTGAATAAGTATATGAGTAACTAACGGATGATGATGATAATGATGTCATAGTATCTAATAAATAACTACGCTATAATAAGTCGCCCACTTACTGAGTAAATGAGTATTGGGTTCAGAAAAGATGATAAGAGATTTATCAGATACAGAATTAGATTGCACTTGGTTGTATTTCTCAAATTCGTCCTTTGTGTCACTAAAGATAAGGATGCAAATTATTAACGTGATACAATTACATTATTTTAAATTTAAATCATATATTAGTTTTATTATAGTAAATTGTGATAGTTATCAATAAAATATGACGTTACCCCTCTTTATATAGTCCTGTGAGGTCATCTGAGTGAGGTTTTACTGAAAATATAAGATCTACTTATTTATTTGTTCGTTCGTAATAATAACATTTATTGCTGATTTTCAACGACAATAATAAAAATAAAACAGCTTTATTTCCATAAAACTAATGGATATCAAAATAAATTCAACTAAAAAATTACCCAAGTCTTTATGATAAAACTTAATTTTTTTGCCTTCTGTTCCGTCATCACTATCTTCAAGTAAAATTTGAGTACGTTCACTCACATTTGAATCATTTTGTCCTGATTCATCGACACGTTCATCAACATTTTCGTTCTCGATATTTTGAGCGACAATAAGTTCATCTACATTTTGACTGTCGATTTGTTCATCGTCATTTTGACCATCAATATCTTCATTTTGACCATCAATATCTTCATTTTGACTATCAATATCTTCATCGATATTTTCATCAATGTTCTGTTCATCGAAGGCTACATCACTGTCTGAATTTATATCGATATATTCATTTTTCATGGGTAGTACTGCCATTTTATTACTTCCTTTTATATCGAAAGTGTTATAGCTAAGCCTGCGTTATTATTATTATTGCTTTTTATTTCTGCTGGCAGTGTATTTGTATCAATGTCGTTATCAGTGACATCTCCTGAACCGTTACTTGTATCATCTCCGGATTCTTTGTTTATATTATCTATAATGTTGGCAATTTCATTTCTGAAATAATCTGTAGGATCAAATCTAATGTTGTCAATTACATTTTGAATTTCTTTTCGTATATACTCTTCATCAGACATATTTTCAGTTTCTGCAGTATTTAATATTTCTTCTGCTTTTGTCACAGGTATATCTGTATCAACCGGTAGTTCTATCACTTCGTTAGCTTCTGATGTTCCTGATTTGTTTGATTCTTCTGACTCTGACTCGACGTGCATTGGCGGGGGTTGGCATATATCCTGAAATGATATTTTATTATAATTACCTATCTAAAACATGTAGAACCAAAAATTATAAAAACATACCATGGCTAGTTGGTTTATTTATCTAGCTATTTTCAAAATAAAAAAATATTGGTAGACAGTTGTAGATAGTTCTAAAAGTCTTAGGTAACTTTTTTTCAACTTACTATAACATTATCAAATAGGTCGTCAATAAAGTCCAGTACGGGGCCTTCTTCTTCTTCCAGATCTATGAAATGATTGATTTTTAAAATAGCCAGCTATTCTAGTAAAATACATAAATTACAGTACAAAACCAATAGAAGTACTTCACCTTTCCTCCTTACTTCCTTTAAAAATGTTTCCACGAGAGTGACAAATTGATCAGAAAGATGCTCATTAACATCATTTTTTAGCCTGACTAAAAAAAGAAAATAATAAAACATAAAATGCAATAAAAAGATAAAAAAGTCGCATTAAGTGAAGGAATGACATTGAACGGAGAATAGTCCTTACCCCTTAAATCTTCTTCGAGAAGCTTTAGTGATAAATCGTCTAAAATACTTGTTATCCAAATTGTAATCTGTAAAAAGCGTTAGTTAAGTATGTAAAAGTTATTAAAAAAAAGATTTTTATTAATGTCAAGAAATACAAGACTTACTTTATTTGATACATCTGTATGTATAGCTTTATACTTAGTTTTTTTACTAAACGTACATTTAGTTAGTAACTTCGCTATATCTTCATGAATTATTTTAGATAATCTTTTCAAACTGAAAAAAAACAAACTATTTGTTATTCACCCGGGAGCTGGTAAGTTCTTATTATTTAATTACTTACGCCACTTTAAAACTTACATTCGTAGATATAATGGTCAAAATTGTGTGACATGTTAGGTAGGTACAAACAATATTTTATCATAACTTAAAAGCCCGACTTACTCTGAATTCAAAGTTAAATTTAGATGTTTTGATAGCCTTTTAGTAATTTTATGTGCAAATAATATACATAAGGTTCTTGAATCCATATAACGACTGGGTTTCGAGAGGTCTACATAATTTTCTCGTTTCTTTTCAGCAGACTTACAGCGTCTGTAAAAACAAACCGCTATCGACATCACATAGGTACCACAAGCAAAGCAATAAGCTGACACGAGAACGAAGATAGACATCTTCTTTCTCGTGGTTTTCGATTTTCAGAGTATTTTTATTTACTTTTATAGGATATCCGTCTGCTGTTAGCCGCCTGCAAATGAGCAGACGGATCACTTCATGGTAAGCAATCGACGCCGCCCATGGACACCCACAACACCAGAGGACTAAGAAGTTACGTGTGTTGTTGTGTTGTTATCATTTTGGGGATTGGCGTGTGAAAGATATCAAGAAGGATGCGACGCGATGATTAGAAGTACAATTTACACTTCTTACGTTTTTGATGTTGATGGACTTCGCCGTTGAAAGCAAATTATTGCTTCTGGTATTTTTACAATTGGTCGTTGGTCCAACACATGTTGTTTCAATCTTTCTACCTGGAACATAGAAATGAAAGTGATTTTAAAAAGTAGTTGTTCTCAACCCTACTGAAATGTGATACGACAAGACTTACCTAATCGTAAAATAAGATTTATCCAGAATTACTAAGTAAGTAATAAAAATATAAAGTACAATGTAAAGTAAAGTTGACTAAAATGAAACAATCGGTACCATAAACTCCGGTAGTATATCAGATTTGTTTCTCCAAGTATCAATACATTGTCGTTTGGTTGGCACAGCCAGCTCCGCTATTCTCATCGGGCACTTCTTGTGTTTGGGAATTTTAGATCTGCCTCGTGGTAAACTAGGAATGCAATATTTGTGCGCTGCTGAATAAGTAGCAGCCGTGTCAGCTGAAGTCGGTCGCCGTCGGTACGGAGATTTTGAGGTTGGTGAACTTGGGTTCGTCTTGTTTTTAGAGTATTTATTTCGCCTGTGAAATAGATAGGTATAATCCTAGTTTTGAAGTACCTAGCCATTTATGACTGAGAAACCGACATAGAAACTTAAATGTAACGAACCTGAACCTGTGAGTGGTCCTTCCTACAACACGACAATGACTACGCTGCGAATAGGTAGAATTAAAGAGACGAATGGAGAAGTATTTGAAGCCAAGACGACAAGTAAAGTCTACACACCTAGTGCTTCTACCTACAGCCTTACAGGTAGGCCGTACATGTGCAGTAAGTACCTGACTAAGCTATCGGATCAATTTAATATTTCGGTAGGTACCCAGTCTTATTTACTATAGTTATACTAGATATTGTGTTTTCAGTGCTGTTAACTATGTAGGTACCTACCAACTCTACGCACCTTGACTACGTAGGTATTTAGTAAAAGGAATCTGCTTGCCTTCCTAGGTAGGTATACCTCTAAATTACAATATGGTTTAAACGTAAAACAAACAAGTATTCATTAGATTACTCAACTTTTTTTGGCATTGCTTCACGAACGATCCTAAAAAATCGATATTGGCTACACTTGTTTCATAGTAACTCGAATCTGGTTGTGGTTTTTTTTTACGCAGTTTATTACCGCGCCATACTTCGCTTTCAACGGTCGCATTGAACCAATCTTTTTCAAAACCTATTTCGTTTTTGGCTCCAGGAGTGCATTCGGAATCCATGCTTGTTACAACTAGAGTAGAATCTGTAAATATTTTACAAAAGAACTAAGAAGGTATATTAATCCAAGTGGTAAAGGTAACAGCGCATAATGCGCGTTATATTGTAATGTCTAGCGACTTGACCCCGCAGTCAAACCATTGCAACGGTTTTGTGGGGCTTAGATTATAAAATACTTACCTATGTGATATAAAGATAAATAAATAAAATAAATATCAATATTGGTCATTAGGAAGTTACAGCCTCAGTTACTGGTAATCTTATTTATCTTACAGATACAAACATATTACAAAGTTGCCACAAAATAGCGACATTATGTAATCAAAGTAGGTAAATACTTAGTTTACTTTTCTAATGCTTACCTGACTCTGCACCAGAAAGGAAAGCCATTAAGTTTTAATGTAGGAGTCTTTCTAAGAGCTACTTAGAGAATTACCTTTAATTTAGTCTGGAAATCTTAAACAAATTTAAAGAAAACTTACACAATCATATTTCGATAAATAAATAATATTTACTGACAGATAATTTGTAAATAGATAAACTGAGGTAAACGCAAAGAGTATAATAAGTATAGGGGTAAAGAGTTGCCACTCGTCAAAATTTATGCCAATCAATTTGAAACGCCATCTGAAAATTGAATCCTAGTAAATTTTTTTTTTTTACTAATGTGGTACAGATAATCCTAAGTATAGCTAATGCCAATACTACCAACAATGCACCTTGTAGGTTGGTACATTGAAGGTAGTATTGGAATTAGCTATGTCTGGTAGCTGCAAAATCAAAGAAGTTATTAATTACAATATTACATTTATTTTACAGTAAATACAAATTAACATTTAAAAATTATCAGCTAGTAGGGAAATATCAGACGACAGAAGTATAATTCAAATGACAATGACCAAATTTGTATGGAGCGTGGTGCCTTTTCATTTTTTCGCAGCAGTTGATCGGATGTGGAAAAATAGATGCAGAATAACATTACAAATAAAAAAATGTATGGGGTCTTATATCAAAAACACAGTCCAAACCGAGTTAAATCAGTTCAAAGATGTAAAAATAGTGCTATATAATTCCTTTGATTTTGTTGATGGTGACCGTACACATCGCATATTTCTTCATTTACTTGTCAGAAATATTTTGTAATAAATGTTTATAGACGATTTTAAGGAATATAATAAAGCTTATTATGGACTTTTATAATTATTATTTTTTTGTTTATTTCTTTTTTTTTCTGTTATAAGGCCACGGATTCAGAACAGAGTGATCCATTAACTGACCATTGCTGCAGAAAAAAAACATTTCGTTTGATTGACTAGCATTTTCAATTTATATGTATACGTTTTATGGCCTATGACAGATTTTCATGATCAATTTCCTTTCAGTCAAAAACCCGCAAAATACTTTACTGAGCCCTATCATGAAATGCTATGTTTGTCAGCTGCGGCGTCGGTAGCGGATTGAGTAGTAACAGTCATCAAAACACGAAAAAATCATTTTTATGTCTACTTCTCCTGACTTACTTCCGATTAGTAACTAATCTAACTACAGTTAATACTTTAATCTACATCTAGCATAAGATTCTGTACAAAGACATCGTCATTCAGTCACAAAGTGATGCATTTCGAATGATCACATTATATGAAAAAATTATGCGCTCATCTGACGTATAGTCCATCACTTTACAAAGTCGACGGTTTGCTTTTTTCAAAAAATTATGCTAACTATAAAGCAGATGAGTCTCCCACCAGGAGTCAACGGCAAAAAAATACTTTATTAGATGTTTGGACGGCTACTACTACTCAACCCACCAACGGTACCACAGCTGACACTCATGAAGCTTCATGACACAACTCCTAGAAGCATCCCACAAGTTATCGACTGAGAGAAAATAGCTAATAAAAATTATCGACTGGCAATATGGATATATTGTGGTGTGATTTGGTGTTTCTGTACCCGGCGTACAGTGGCGCGCAATTTGAAGTTAGGAATTGTGACAAAAATATGAATAATTTGAATAAAACAACAAAAGTAAAATGTTTGATTCCAGCTCCTTTCAACGCTCATAACTCAGTCCAGACTGAGATTTCCATATATGAGCCCATAGACAATTTCGTTTGTAATGACATTCTAGATAATATTTTCCATAAATCATCGACTGCCGCCAGAAAAAGAAAGGCACCAATTTTAGTCAATGCCCTTTTAGTTCTTTTTAATTTTATGTTTACAAATTTCAGATATAAATATGTCGTTCAAAATTTATTTGAATTAGTTATTTTTTTAATTATTGATCCCACAAAGAACTAAAATTAAAAATATTAATGTTCACCGTAGTTTACACAGTACCTAACAGTAGTTAACAATCTAATGATATACAGTGAAACCTGGTTAAGTGAGACATCAAGGGACCTGCAATGTCGTTTCACTTATAGAGGTATTCCACTTACCCAGTGTCTCAGATATACAGGTATAAATAAATATCTGTCTCATTTACAGAGGGTTCCATTAATAGAGGTGGACTTGGAATTACGTGTGGAATTTGTGGGTAGAATAAGAATGAGTAAACAAACAATGTTATCTCAGTTACAGAGGTTTATGCATATAAAATTTACTCGCTGTTTCAGTTATAGAGGTAACTATGATGATAAATCGAAAGAACAAATCCCAGATATAGAGGTTTACCTCGTCCCACTAACAGAGGTAATTCAGTGCCAAAGTGTTGGGACCTCAGCATGAGTTCCAGTTATGGCGGTTTCTCACTTATCCAGGTCCCACTTAACCAAGTTTCACTGTAAATTAACCGTAATACCTACACAAATGTAGTACATTTTACCATCGATTTGAATCGCTTACATTATTTACAAAAACACAAAATTATTATACAATTTACATAACATAACATACATAACATCACGCCTTTTTATCCCCGAAGGGATAGGCAGAGGTGCACATTTCGGCACTCAATGCCACTGTACAATGTAACACCTACTTTTCACTATTTATGTTATAAGTCCCATGTAATAGGGGGTAAGCCTATTGCCATATACCGGGCACATTTCCAGACTACTCTACTACTACTGAGATTTTTTTAAAACCCAGTAATACTTTGCCCGACCCGGGTATCGAACCCGAGACCCCTTGCCCGGCAGTCGCACCTATTATTATAGTGTCGAAAAATATAGTGCTTAAAAATAAGTCTCAGTCCGCCTCTCAGTCAGTCTCAGTTTTTTAGTACTTTTTTTTGCTAGTTGCTAATAATGCCTGACTTAGTCGTTTCCTATATCTAGTTATATTACAGTAATTTTTACTAAACAACTACAGATTTTTCCTATCCTCAAATATAATATTTTTATAACATTATAATGAAACAAAGTAATATTATTATTATAAATACAAATGAAAATGAAACAGGCAAAATAATGTGGGAAATCCCAATTCAGACAGACTTCACAGTTGCCCACAACAGACCGGACATAATATACACAAACAAAACATCCAACACCACATACCTCTTTGACATAACTGTACCATGTAACTACAACATAGGAGCAAAAGAAATTCAGTAAATACCACTTTTTAAAGACACAACTCAAGGCTTGAAATATTGAAACGCATGTTAATTCTATAGTAATTGGAGCCACAGGAGTAGGTACTAGCCAAAAGCCTCAGCAGATACAGACAAATTAGAAACATAAATAGACATTAGCACCATTCACACAATAATCATTCTTAGCAAAGTACTAGGAGACACAGTTTTCGTCACATACATTCCAGATTCCGATCAATTACAACCATCTCAAGCGCAAACACCACATACCACTCAGTCAACCATCACATGAAGCTCGCAATCCACATCTGGCACACAAACTACACCCAGTTAGTAGTCAAGTAGTCAGCAGAAGAGAAAGAAGGAGATTTATAAGTCAAATTTAGAAGGGGCTATGAGCATCGTTTCCTGCGGGTTGCGGGAAGCGGTGCCCATTTTCACCAGGTCAAGCCCAAGAAGGAGAGACCTCTACATATATGAATACAAATAAGTAAAACCTAGAATAATGCTGCCAGTCTTTTGGGCACCCTACTCCACGATAGCGATGAAAAAGAATTTTTTGATGCCCTAAGGTAACATTTTTTTTAAAGTGTGAATATGTACCTATTTTAGTTTATTTATAATTTAATATTACTTTGTTGTGCGTAGGTACTTAAAATGTTGTTCTAATTATGATATATACATTAATACGTAGAGCAACACGGGCCACCGGCGGACCATTAATACAAAGATAAAAATAGTTTTACAAAAATAATACGGCTTTAATATTTGCAGCGATCTATGGGTTTCTTGTTTCTTGAGACAACAATATACGTCTGAATGTTAGAATAATTCCATATAGTACCTGAAAAAAAAACAAAGATTATTTTTACATGCAGAAATATGATTTTACTAGCTGTTGCCCGCGACTTCGTCCGCGTAGATTAATGACTTCTGACAGAATTCATCAGAATCAATTCAGTGCCCAAGTAAGATTTACCTATTTTGAAATGATTTATCGTAGTTTCAATAAATAAATAATCCCGCAGGGATCTTACCAGTACAGTGCCCGATCACGTAAGGTTTCAGTAATAAAAACTATTCTATCGACTATTGTTGTACCCAATCTCTCTAGAATAAGTTCAGTGGTTAAGAGTTAGAGAGTCCTGGGGCATTGACGCATAGTTCCCGTTCTCGTGAGACATCTGTGAAAAAACTATCATACGTTACCCAGGTCCTAAATCATTGTTTTACCGAATGTAATTCAAAAAGATTCAATGATTCTAAATTCAACGGCTAAGAAGATTTATACAAACTATCATTCCCTATTTTATCCCCTTAGGGGTGGAATTTATCAAAATCCTTTCTAAAGAGATACCTATGTCATAGTAACTTTATGCATGCAAAAGTCTCAGCCCGATCAATTTAAAACTGGCAAAGTATCATACATACTTTCACCCCCTATTTTACCCACTTTGGGGTGAGAATGTTCAAAAACCTTTCTAAAGGGACGTTTACGTCATAATATCCATCTGCACGCCGAATTTCAACCCGATCGGTGTAAAACTGACAAAGCTTCATACAAACGTTCATCCCCTATTTTACCCCCTTAGGGGTGGAAATTATCAAAATCCTTTCTTAGCGGATGCATGCCAAATTTCAACCCGATCGATTTAAAACTGACAATGTCTCATACAAACTTTCATCCTCTATTTTACCCACTTGGGGGTGGAAATTATCAAAATCCTTTCACAGCGGATGCCTACGTCATAACATCTATCTGCATGCCAAATTTCAACCCGATCGGTTTAAAACTGACAAAGTCTCTTACAAACTTTCATCCCCTATTTTACCCCCATTGGGGGTGGAAATTATCAAAATCCTTTCACATCGGATGCTTACGTCATAACATCTATCTGCATGCCAAATTACAACCCGATCGGTTTAAAACTGACAAAGTCTCATACAAACTTTCATCCCCTATTTTACCCCCTTGGGGGTGGAAATTATCAAAATCCTTTCACAGCGGATGCTTACGTCATAACATCTATCTGCATGCCAAATTTCAACCCGATCAGTTAAAAACTGACAAAGGTTCATACAAACTTTCATCCCCTTTTTTACCCCCTTCGGGGTGGAAATTATCAAAATCCTTTCTTAGCGGATGCCTACGTCATCACATCTATCTGCATGCCAAATTTCAACCCGATCGATTTAAAACTCACAATGTCTCATACAAACTTTCATCCCCTATTTTACCCACTTGGGGGTGGAAATTATCAAAATACTTTCACAGCGGATGCCTACGTCAAATTTCAACCCGATCGATTTAAAACTCACAATGTCTCATACAAACTTTCATCCCCTATTTTACCCACTTGGGGGTGGAAATTATCAAAATCCTTTCACAGCGGATACCTACGTCAAATTTCAACCCGATCGATTTAAAACTCACAATGTCTCATACAAACTTTCATCCCCTATTTTACCCACTTGGGGGTGGAAATTATCAAAATCCTTTCACAGCGGATGCTTACGTCATAACATCTATCTGCATGCCAAATTTCAACCCGATCAGTTAAAAACTGTCAAAGTTTCATAAAAACTGACAAAGTTTCATACAAACTTTCATCCCCTTTTTTACCCCCTTGGGGGTGGAAATTATCAAAATCCTTTCTTAGCGGATGCCTACGTCATAACATCTATTTGTATGCCAAATTTTAGCCCAATCTGTCCAGCGGTTTGGGCTGTGCGTTGATAGATCACTATGCCAGTCAGTCAGTCAGTCAATCACCTTTGAATTTTATATATATAGATTTATTTGTTTTCTTTTATTTATCTAAGGTAGGTGTACCTTACGTGATATTACTGATGTTACAAGAATAATATAGTATTTACCATCTCTAAAATAGGTTTCAAGCACTGCTGGTATAGATCGGCACTTTATCCGGACATCGTAAGACTCGTAACTGCCGATAAAAAATTGCACTATTGATATTCTGCAATGATGATGCTGAGGTAATATCGATGCAATAGCAATTCCAAATATCACTGTAACAAATATACAAAAGAAAAAGTAGAAATTTATAAAAACTACATAGTTTGGTATCTCAATGAATCAAATAAAATGTATAAATAGGTTCAATAACAAAAATCATAAACTTGTTGTAGGTTTTACCTTCAGCAACATGATTGTATTCTTCGTATTGATGTTCTTTATTATAAATAAGATATATACGCAAATTAAAGCGTTCCTTTGTAAAATCAAGTCCAATGAATAGACAAACAAACACAATGTACTTTTGTGATTTGTGATACACATGTATACAAAAGGTCCTTTATAGAAATCACAACACGCATCGCAGAACTTCCTTTTTGAGAAAAACAATCACAAAATCCCATCACAAAGTATTAAATAATTTAAAATATTTTTGGCAAAAATTTTTACAATTTTGACATTTCAAATTTTTGTTTTTGTTTCTTTTCTTTATCAAGCAAAAAGTATACATATTATATGCCAGTATTAAAATAGTACATGCATACTATTTTATAGAAATAAGGAGATAATATAAAAAAGTATTTAATATCAATATCTAATTATTAACAATATTATTTTAATAGTTATTTATAATATATTTATAATTAAATAATTTGGAAAATTATTATTGTAATGTTTTAATATTTTTTTAGCCCCAGCGTTGCCGTAAAAAATAATAATTTGACAATCCATATAGTACAAGAGCCTATGAACCCCAGACCTTTGTTATTTATAACGGACTTAAAAAAAAGGAAAAGTTATGTACCTATAAGGTTTTTTTATGTTCCTTCAGGGATGACTTCGTCGTTTTTTAACGTATTTCGATGATTCTTTTTTAACCGACTTTAAAAAGGAGTATCAGTTTGACCTAAATGTTATATACATTTAGGTCAAACATATGTTACAGCCAAAGTGATTAATTTGATATTATTCGTAATGACTAGTAATTAATCAATTAATGACTAGCTATTGAATAATATCTTCGAAAACTTGGATAAAGTAAATCAGCAAATGGAAATGAACAGGGCTGACGTCTGCACAAAATTTTGAATTTATCGTCATGGGTGTCGTTTTCATTGTTTTCGAGGGTGATAAAGCCGATGGTCCTGTCAAATTGTAAATCCAAGATGGCGTGCGCACAAAATTTTTCAATTTATCGTCATGGGTGTCCTTTTCATGGTTTTCGAGGGTGATAAAACCGATGGTGTTGTCAAAATGTAAATCCAAGATGGCGTCTGCACAAAATTTTGAATATATCGTCATGGGTGTCGTTCTCATGGTTTTCGAGGGTGATAAAACCGATGGTGTTGTCAAAATGTAAATCCAAGATGGCGTCTGCACAAAATTTTGAATGTATCGTCATGGGTGTCGTTCTCATGGTTTTCGAGGGTGATAAAGCCGATGGTGCTGTCAAAATGTAAATCCAAGATGGCGGCTGTACGAAATTTTGAATGTATCGTCATGGGTGTCGTTCTCATGGTTTTCGAGGGTGATAAAGAAGATGGTGCTGTCAAAATGCAAATCCAAGATGGTGGCTGTACGAAATTTTCAATTTATCGTCATGGGTGTCGTTTTCATTGTTTTCGAGGGTGATAAAGCCGATGGTGTTGTCAAAATGTAAATCCAAGATGGCGTCTGCACAAAATTTTGAATTTATTGTCATGAGTATCGTCTTCATGGTTTTCGAGGGTGGTAACAAAGATGGTGCTGTCAAAATGCAAATCCAAGATGGCGGCTGCACGATATTTTCAATTTATCGTTATAGGTGTCGTTTTCATGGTTCTCGAGGGTGGTGAAAATGTTGGTGCTGTCAAATTGTAAATCAGAGATGATGACTGAACGAAATAGAGTTAGTGCATTTATCGAGAAAGATTAAGTATGTGTGTGAATGTGTGTGTGTGTGTGTGTGATAGAGAGACAGAAAGAATGCGTGCAACCTATTTTATAGATTTTCTATGAAAATTGAGTATTTTCAGATAATAACTATTAGTTTTTATATAATAAAAACGGTAGCCTAGACCTGAGGTTCATAGGCTCTTAGGTTAATGCTTTTGGATGCAGAAACCTGACGCAGTCACTTCATAGAGTTTAGTTTGTCATCCATCACCTAATATCTTTTTAATCTCTATTATTAGTAAAGAGGCTGTCATCTTTGATCGATTATGCCAGCATAACTGTCAGTTTAAGGAATTATTTTGTAAAAATTGCAATATAGTATTAAATAAATGTGTATAGTGTTATTTTACTATTTCCAAAAAATATTATTATAAACCTAAATTTTTAAATAATGTTGCAACCTTGCTTGGAACTGTGTGGCCACTGAAAATATTAGTTTTGACAACATTTAATTTCAGGTTCGAAAACTAGATGTAGTTGACGGTCCGATTTTTTAAGCTGTCAATGGCTCTAAGTGTGACGGCCCTGTAAACGAATGAATAGAGGATATGTCACTGCCTTGAAGTATTTTTGTAAGAAGATCTATAAAGCCATGGCAGTGCTCTATTCCCGAGTTTTTTTCTGTTTCTTTACACTGCACTGTGTACCTACATACATTTATTAGGATGAACGTATTGTACAACAAAATGTATGTAACTGGCGATATCTAACGGAGACCATTAATATTACCTAAGGTGAATGCTCCTAAAAACGCGGTTTACCGTAAAAGACAGTCAGACTGCTTATCGGTTATCCCCATTGGAGACAGGCATGGGGATGTAAGTAAGTATGCAGGTTGATTCAAATAATTACTAGGGATACTATAATATATACCTAACTAGCTTCTGCCAGCGACTTCGTAAGTACGCATAAATAAGAGATTCCCGTTTTTCCCACTCCCGTAGGAATTTAAAATAAAACCATCCTTAGTGCTCCTTTACACTCCTTATGGAACATCCATGCCAAGTTTCAGCTTTGGAGCTCTAGTAGTTTTGGCTGCGTAGTGTCTGTCATGCAGTTAGTCAGTGACTCAGTAACGAAATAGTTTTATAATTATATAGGTACCGATAAATACGTAATCTAAAAATAGAACTGTATACAAAATTGTCATTTCCGAACGGTATTTTAATTATCACGTTTCTATTTCGAACTGTCAGTGTCATGAAAAATTGTTTTTGTTTGCCACAACTGTCAATGTGAGTAGTAAAGTCAAGTCAACATTTACGTTCATGGGAAGAAGACGTGTATTTTAGCTTTACGTAAACAAAATTATCGTAATAAATCAAGAATTTAAATAAATTGACTTGGGGATTATACGAGAAATAAGAAACAAATTACGTTTCTGCCGAAACTTTCGGGTTTTGTTGATTTACTTCTTGTAATTTGAATTTTATTATTTTATTTGTTCGTCTTTACACTGGAAAAGTTGTAAACAAAGAATTAGTGAAACAAAAACAATGTGGTCTCATTTACAACGTGGAAGTTCACCAGTGGACTGGTGTGAATCTAATTATTCTATATCACCAGTAATTGCTGAATTTGTTAATACCGTAAGTCATATTCTGAATTTTCTATTTTTAGTTTTCCGAGCAAAGACAAAGGATTTTCTTTCTTGGCGTGCTTACATGTTTTTTACCTGTATAAGAACCGGTATTTTTTACAAAACGTTAATTAGAATATTGACCTTGGGATATTGTTAGAAATATAAATACTTTGAAGATGCTTGTTATATGCAGTTAGTTATGTGAGTTTTTGCCATGGTTTAGTCATGCTTGCTTGCCCAAAATGGTCGTTGACCCAGGCCCTCTAAATTGGTCGTCAACCTGCGCGATGTATCACCTTGTGTGTGTAGACAATGGTATGAATTAAGTTTTATTTTACAGTTTAGCAATGTCCTGTTCTTCCTGTTGCCTCCAGTCCTGATTCATCTGTTCCAAGAATATTCCAAGTTTTTCAACCCAGCTATTAATGTGCTATGGGTACTGTTGATGGTAGTTGGAATCTGCTCTGCATACTTTCATGCCACACTGAGTTTAGTGGGTAAGGAGTTCTTACAAATTACCAGGTTTATTACCCATTCATAAATGTTCGAAATTGATTAGAAATAACTAGTGCTCAATTTATGATTCCATGTTAATTTCATACCATTCATATCCTATTTATGAGTCTATTTACTGTTTTTTTGTTTTGAAAAAACATAAAACAGAATTTCAATGACACAGATTGTTTTGAAAACATAATTTATTATAATATTTCTCTAGGTCACATCTGGATTAATATCATAAAATACTATGTAAATGTTAGATAAACATACATAACATCATCAAAACATCATAGTTAGTTGTAATAACAATATAAAAACTTGTTGAATTTATTTTGTATGCAAATCAAAGTCTAACTTAGAATTTCATTCAAATAAGAATAAAATAAATTCCAATTATAACCAATTTAAATGAGTCAGAGTATCTCATACAGCACAAAAGGACCATAATATCAGTTAGATTGAAACAAAGGAGGATCTAATGTGGGTATTGACAATATATGTATTATTATAGTTTTAACAATGGTATTTACAATTTCAGGGCAGCTTATGGATGAATTGGCTATACTGTGGGTGTTCATAGCAGCGTTCGCTATGTTCCTGCCTAAGAGATACTTTCCTGCATTTTTAGATGGAAACAGGTAAGGACCTTATGTAAAAATATAACATCACATCACAATTTTTGCGTCTCGAGGGGGGAACAGAAGTGTACCTAGATTTTAAATATAACAACCATTTTTCACCAGTTAAGCTCTTAATTTATTAGTCATCGTTTAAATGATTCAAATACAAACTACACAATATTATGAAATACATAAATAAACGATATCACCATAATATGTAGCCTAAAGCAAGTAAGTTTAATCATAATATATTATATTAAACTATTATCTGTACAAAGCTGAAGAGTTTGTTTGTTTGTTTGTTTGAATGTGCTAATATCGGGCAATACAGGTCCGAATCCAATAATTGTTTTTGTGTTCGATAGTTCATTTATCGAGGTAGTCTTTAAAACATCACATTATCGTCAATAGGAACGCGCATTACGGGTAAAAACCGCGTCAGATTCGCTAGTCTGATATATAGGTTGAAATAAAAAAAAGTATACACAATTTTGATAGAGTTATAAAACTTATCACTTTAAAATATGTTATCAGACTTTTATTAAGTACACAAAAATCTATTGATAATGTTGAACGTTTGAATCCAACAACTAAGGTGTGTAGTAATGTGCCATTGCACCTGATGTCTGTTTGTTTGATAACAAAATATTGTCAACTGTTTCTAATACAGTTGTGTAAATAATAAATGCATACCTCTGTAGATCGAAACATGTAAACACTCAAATGAGTATGTACCTGTACCGTAAAAAATACCTGTTCTGTTTTAACGTATTAATAAATAATTATCTTCTTTGTTTTATAATAACTATCGTGAGACATACTAAATTGACTAAAAATTGTGGGTTACTCACGTGAATATACTGAGAAAAGCTCTACTAGTTTCGAACCACAGAGGGGTTCTTCCTCATAAGCAGCGTGCGCGGTCGCGGCGAGGTCGCGCAGTCTACTAAGTAATTATCTTCTTGATTGAAATGTGTATGTATGCTATAAGGACATATTAAACAGAATTCTTTCCAAACGTAAAATTTTGCTTTTTTCCAAGTACCGCGCGCTGTTCCAGTTCCGATTGTCAATGATCGAAGCCTAGATCTGTTGCCATCAAAACATCAGGGCTTAGTACGAGTTTCTTTTTCATTTAAAGTAATCGAAACGAAACCTCGTCCGGCGCTCTGATTGGTTGGTTCATTGGAGCCTGCCAATCACAGCGCCGAACGCGTACCTACTCGTTTCGATTACTTTCAAAGTAAAACAAAGTCGTACTAAGGCCTCTGTACATAGTAATTAAATGCGTGTCCTGTGCGAAATATACGAATTATACTTTTAGCAATTTAGTCAGACGAGGTACTTATACAATTTTTAGTTTTTACTTATTCAGAATAAGCCTTTCATTAAGAATCAGTATCATCAGAAGGTAGGTGGTTATTTACTTAATTTCCCGAACAATACAATGACGCATCTAACATTTGTCCCACGGACCGGTTGTGCCGATGTGCATGTGTGATAACAAAGTTTACTTACAGACAGCATGTGAGCCATTAATACAGCTACTAACTATCTACTTTAAAACCAATTACCTCAGCATTTCAATACGTGATATTAGAAGGTTAGGGTAAAACTGCGTTGTTATAAATACGCTTTGAAGCAGGAAGGTACGAGGCTCTCTATTGTTACCAATAGACATAAAATAAGGTTTTTGTGAATATCGTCAAAGGACCTAAATATCGTAAATTAGTTACTCCTAATATTAATTTGAATTATGTTAGATATATTATTTTTACCAGGATTCACTTAAACTGTCAAACACCAAGCGGTCACCGGTGACCGCGACCTATTGTTCTTTAATTGTGTCTATAAAACCGGTACTCGACGAGTTAAACCGTTAGTCAGTTAGAATAGAAGTCATATCTTGACGCTCTACGCTTTAGCGCCCTGTACCTACCTACTAAAAATTGGTAGGTATGGAGTTTCCCCCCAAAATACCTACCTACTTAATAACTTGATAAACTTTAAGCGATTTCCCTTTAGATAAAGCGGAATTAGAGCTCTAGTTGTTAAGGAGTACCTATTGTACTATCTAATCTGTATTTCGGCGTGGGGTTGTACCTCTGCCTATCTCTTCTCTTTGATACGGTTGATATGGCCGAATCTATGCCCTTGGTGATTAGATAGGTACCTAATATCAATCTATTGGTTAACTACTTGTTGCTTCAACTGTAGGTTATGCTAGTGCGCAATAAGAGTATCGCATACAGAATGCCCATGAAGTTTTGGAACCTACCTGATAAATAGTGTTACTTCCTTGTTTTTATAATCGGGCTGAGGCACTTAACTTTTCTTAGCATAAATTAACAAACTCTATTGTAATTTGGTAATTACTATGTGAATTTGCTAATAAGAACAAGGTATAAACACATTATGGTCCACTTTTAGCGCCTATTGCGCCATTAGCGGCGTCATGGAAGTTTCAAAATTGCATTTTAAGTAAACTTGGTAACAGGGTACCTACTTGATGATTATTGTATAGAGGTACAACTATAGAGTTGCGTGGTACTTACTTACGTCCGAAATAAATACCTAATGGTTTTGACCTACCATTGGACCGGTACCTTTTTTTTTTCCTCTACAATCCATGACAATAGATAATTAGATACTTTCCAGTCTGTTTTTGAATGGAAAAAGCTAGAAATCAAGAGAAAGTGGCTATTACGAGCATAATATTACCTAGTGAAATCTAGTAAAACACATGTAGGTAGGCATAGTTCGATGGTACCTTACCAAAAATTCTATTGTATAGGTACTTGTCCTATTGAAACCGGATAATTTGACCTAATTCAATGTGTTAAAGGCCTAGGGTCAAGTGGGTCCTTCCTGCCATTTAGGTGCGTGATTGATTAATACTTACTTATAAATGTGTGGGGTTTATAGCAGTAGGTCCCAAAATTATTTTTCTCATGGACCTCTTTCAAAATTTAACTGGTTTCGGTGGACCCTGCTGCTACATTTCTACCACATTCTTTCAAGAAATTGCACTACGGCAGCGTATTTTAATAACATTTACATTTAAAGATCTTAATCTGTGTAACAAGTCGTCAAAAAATAAAAATTGTGTCGCTTTTGTGTTCTGTCCCTATACACTTTATAACTTTCGCTCACGGCATCAGACGTACTCTAAAATCCCGGTTTATCTATATATATATATATCTATAGTTAGCGCATCTAGAGACCGCCCTTTATCTTTAATAATTCTGGTTATAGTCTACCTAGGTATAATCTGTGAATTTAATGTGTAACGGACTTTTAACATGTAGGTTGAAACATTTTACAAGGTTATTGTTTAGTAATTTGTTGCAGATGTAGGTTAATCATGAATAAAGTACATTAATGTTTGCGTGACCAAACCAAATACCAACCTGCCTACCCACAGTGACGTTGCTAGTTTTACTTTTATTGTTTGTTTTGATACAAATTATTTATTCCATCACGTTGTACTCATTTCGTTCGTAAGAATTGTAAGCCTACCTAGATTCTACAAAATAAAAAAGGTCGGTACCTACCTACTCAGAGTTGGTAGTTATCTACATGCATTACAGCCTAATTGCTGGCCGTCTTTCTATCGATATATGCTGGTAGAACCTAACTCTAGCTTAACCATCTTGGAAGGAAAATTGGGTACATGCTTACCTATTAGTTAATTAACCTGTTTTAAAAGTTTCCGTGTACTGTACCCCACTAGCCATCAGCACCGTTAGGTTGTTGGAATTGACTGCCCGGTTGCCGCGGTGGCTGGGTAACTGGCTGCCGCTTAACGTGTAGTGGGTTCGATTCCTGCACGGAGTAACTCTGTGTAAACTTGTTACTATGTTTGTCTACGCACCCACGACACTGGAGAAAATCCTAGTGTGGGAGGGAAACGTTTTTTATAAGAAAGAGAAAAAATTAACAAAAATATTGATGCTCTGTTATGATTACAAGCAAAGCGTTAATAATCGATAAGAAGCACTAAATGTGGGTGTTCTTTTTGTTAGTAGGTCGTTAGCTACGCACAACCTTATCAGCTTTAACCATTGGTTCCGTCCATTGTAGCATTTATTTGTGTAAAATATATGTTTTATAATATTTTTTTGAGAATGACTGCGTTAGAAAACATCCTACTTGTTACTTGATATTGTTAAAATAATGTTAAATTGTATCTTTCTTTGTATCTGCTTACAAAATACACGATCTGTATGATCGATCGATCTGTGAGATCCCGAAGCTGAATTCTTTTGTCAGAATCCGAATTCCAATGTTGTAATTATTTAAATAGAGAGTGAAATTAGTTTTCGTTATTGTTCACTCTTGGCATATCTCGTAGTCTATATATGTGTCAGAGATATAAGTAACAAATTAATTTTACATATTTTCAGACGTCGCCTGGCCATCTACTCCGCCATTACGTCGGTACTACTGACCGCTTTCCTAGTCATGCATCCAGCAGCTAACGCTTTCGCATTGATGACACTCGCTCTGCCGACGCTTGGATTTATGTATGGCGAGTTGGTGAGGTAGGTACCTACTTACTCTTTAAAATTTCGATCGTTATAAATAATAGGTAAGTACAGGTTTCCAGCTCCCCCATGTTTCCTTGTACTAGTTATATGGAATTACCTAATTGAACACCTATCAACTCAACTAGTTACATATCTGTTAACGATAAAGCGCTATCAATGTTAGTATCTCATGTTAACATAGTGATGTTGTTTTGTCTTGCGACCAAAGAACTTGCCATAAGGAGTAGGTAGGTATATTCGATTCATTAAGTAAAAACAAAAACAGATATTTTTTTAGTTTAAACTGTCAAACACCAAGCGGTCACCGGTGACCGCGACCTATTGTTCTTTAATTGTGTCTATAAAACCGGTACTCGACGAGTTAAAAATATATTCATCGACATTCTAATGTCCCATGTTCGTGTGTAGGCACTATTTCCATCGCGCGCGCCACCTATCGAGAAATATCAGGTTCTAAGCGTTTTCGAAGTTTGCTTTTACAAGCCATCAGCTACATTTTGTTAAAAAAATATATTTTATTTCTTTGTAAAACCATTGTATTACCGAGACAAAACTATTATCGGGACAAAAACGATATAAATTTTACGGTTTATAATAATATCATTTACTTCTTGGTTTGTAGTTTTATGACATTGGGTTTTTATTACGTTTTAGAGTGAAATGTTCGCGTGTATACCGCCTGGGTGTGCGGTCTGTTGCCGTCAGTCTGCTGGCGATATTCTGCTGGGTCATGGACCGCATGTTCTGCGACGCGTGGCTCTCCATCGACTTCCCTTACATGCATGGAGTGTGGCACGTACTCATCTTCATCGCCAGCTACACCGCCCTCGTGCTATTCGCGTATTTTAACGCCACTGAGGAGAGTCCCGAACAAAAACCTCAGCTAAAGTACTGGCCTGTCAACGAATTTGAACTAGGCATACCATATGTAACCATGAAACATCCCTGCAAGACAGACAAAAATCTAGCAATCTAGTCATTTTAGAACTAGTTCATCCTAGGGCTGGATATACTACTGACAGTTTTCGAAGGCTGAGGTATCTTTGATTTGAAATTTGAATGGTCGATGCACTTATCATGTACATATGTATTACTTATCAGTTGATAAAATTGGTGTATCTATGTAAGTAAGTACACAGATAAAGTGTAGGCACATATCTATTTAATGTTGTTTTAAATTGCGCCAAAAAATATTTTATTCTATTTTTATGATGACAATGAAATGTTTATGAAGTAATAATTTGAAATTGTTACGATGTTTGTACGCGTGAAGTAAATTGCGTTTCATAATGGGCTCGAGTAGATTAGATGTAGTTGTAGAAGTAGAAGTTGTAGAAATTTGAGTACTAATTATTGACCTGCAATTTTTAATGCGCTGTGATGCGAAGGTTTATTTATTTATTACTTTATTTCTTTTAAAAAAGGACAAAAATAATTTTAATTTTACTTTTTAAATTTTATTTTTTTATTACATACTATAAAGTTTATAGAATTTTATTTATTTTTATTTTTTTAATATAATATGGTTTCGGTGATCCATATTTTATATAAATAAATAGATTTTATTTTATATGTCAGGAACTGAGAATGTTTGGATAGTAACATGGTAAACAGCTTGCAAAGTAGTAGTATCTATTATTACATATTTACTTAAAACAATGTGATGTCAAATATATCTGAGATATTATTGTAGGGTAGATTAAGTGTGTAGCTACTTATTTTGTATACAATTAGAATATAAATTTTACAGTGGGTAGTACAAAATAATACAAGTTATTGAGTATTGAATGTATCTAGTTTTTTATTTGGGATGTTCGATAGTTTGTGTGGAACACAGCTTGTATTAGAAACCTGTATGAAAATTAGCTGTCCGTATATCATATATCAAACCATTAGTTTACATTATAAGTTTCAGTTAAACATACTCTAGCAATCTATAGTATGTTTTACTAAAAAATGCTCCATGCGTGACTTATATTGCGTCATAAGCATTTTATAACTTGACAGCCCCTCAATTTTGCCATGACTGATAAAATTTACCAGATTTATTTTATGAATAACTATTCTAGTATTAGTCACAGCTAATATTTAAAATTAACTTCTTCACTTCTAAAGTATTATTAGGTAAACTTCAAATAAATGTATGTAACTTCAAATAAATGTATGTAACTTCAAATAAATGTATGTAAACTTGTGAAGCAATTAATGCAAACATAATGTAAAAAGAAAATAAATAAAAGCTTGTAAAATCCTTGATTTGGGAGCTGTATAGTATTTTAGTACTGGTATTAATTTGGAACAAGCTATTACCATTTATGATAAGTGATATAGAAGTCTGATATATGTCTATTTGTTGCCCAGAATGATGACAAATAGTTGACATGTTTGACATAAAAAGACAAATTGTTTTGTAAAACCTCTAGTAAGTAAGTACTAGTTTTACCATGTGATTCAGAAAAATTGTGATGATGGAATATAATAAATTAAAGTTTTATATGTTTTTTCTTACTCAGGTACACCCAATTGTAAATTAAACACAGAAATATAAAAATAAGCTGGAATGTTTATTCAATAACATGATAATAAATTCAGATCCATAAATATTGTCAATAACATTTGCAATACATTATAAAATATAATTTTGTCAATATAAATTCTTGGATAAAAATTAGTCAGAGTCAGAAGACACATTATGTTGGACATTGGGATGTACCTTGGACGCATCAAACTTCTTTCGGGGGTAGGTGCTACCACCACGGTACACTATGTGGTTCTTCTCAGTCTCCAATATCTTCACTTCATGAAGTAACTGTGGCTTCTCCATCACACTCACGAGTCTATCCCAAATGTAGATTGCCACATTCTCAGTTGTGCTCACCTACAAACCACAATTACACAATCATTACATTCTTATAGGAAATCAATCATAATCAATTGTAAAAAGATCAAAGATCATAGTAAAAAAATTACTCAATTAAATGTTTAGAGAACTGTTATAAATTAGATAACCTTTTGCCCATATTGTTACACAACTTTAGACAATATGTATAGGTAATTAAAATATAATTTAACTGTTCTCATATTGTATGATTAATTAAGAACATTTTAATTACCACATTCTTGAAGTATGGAACATCTTTGTCCAAGTTCTTGTGGTCAAGTGGGTCCATGATGGCAACCTTAATGTACTCTTTGAGGTCATGTACATTCATCACCATGCCAGTTGAAGGGTCTACAGGACCCTTCACTGTTACCAGGACTGAAAATAGAAAAAAGAAGAAATTAGGATTTTTCCTGTAACTACAACATTGTTTCTGTCTAAATTTTCTTATGACTATCACTTATAAAGTGAACAAGTTGTACAAAAACTTACCAACATAATTGTGTCCATGCCCATTTGGATTGTTGCATTTTCCAAATATCTTTTTGTTTTCTTCATCAGACAAAACTGGGCTGGAAAAAATAATTTCTTATAAGAAATCAATTCTTTAAGAGGCCTCATATAAAATTTAATGGACAGTAAATATTGAATTTGGGGATTGATAACCCAGGGGATCAACGGCTGCAAATTCCTTTAATTGAATAACTTGCGTTGTCATTACACGGCAAATAACTTACTTGTTGCATGGCTTTGCAACTCTGCTCATGTTACTATGAAGAAATTCCTGTACAAAGATCAGATTACTGCAGTAATGCATTTTGTAAACTTATTCTTACCTGTGCAATCTGTGACAGGCACTAAAAGTTTCACGCCGGTGATGGATACTATCGGCAAAGGGGTTGGAGTCATTGTTTTTATTTAAATATTATTTATCTCAATTAATAGCAAAAAAACAAGTTTGGCGGCTACTCTTTGTGACAGCCAGTTGAATACTGAAGGTTTAAAATCGATGATACAGTTAATTCGTTACGACTTGGATATATTTAACTATACTTCGGAAGAAAACACGAACACAACAAGTGTTTTAAAAGTTGATATTGATTGAACTGTCACTGTCAAATAGGTCCTTGGCAGCTGACAAAAGAAAGTTTGACAGATTACATTTTTGTTGCATTTATCTTTCTATTTTGATTACGAATATAATTTCAATAAAAATTATTAGAGATTACAACAATTAATTTTATATCCATGTTCTGACAAGAACATTAATTATGTTTTCAGAAGGAGTAAGTTTCAATCAAGAATACATGCTTGGCATGACAGTGATATTACTAAACTGATGTCAATGTCAAAGTCAAACGCGTCGACGTATCTGGGAGATTTTTATATCTATGTCTAGAAGTAAAGTACAGTGAATTGGACTTTGTAACCTTTTAGAAAAATTGTAAATAGTGTATTTTTAAGTTAAGCAGTGAAAAACTACAGTACTTTATTAACAAAAATGTTTTCTCCAAGCAGCAGGCACTTGCTCTTTTCAACGCAGGTTAGTCTTTATTCTAATCGTTAATTTGCATTAGCTACACACGAGCGAAGTAATTTTCCTATAGTTTTATTATGTTCCACTAAATCACATTATTTTATTTGATATTTATCATGATTTATGTCTTATTAAAATGCTTTGTGTAACCTTCTACCTGCTGTTAACTAAAATTGTCAAAACTTTTTTCAACTGTTTTTCTTATCATTAAGTCATTTATCAGTATGGTGAGCATCGTTTATTTCTATGTACATTTAAGAGAATAGAGATGGAGAGAATGAGAATGGATTTTAATGTACAAAGTAAACATAATTATTTAATTAGAGGACATTAAACAATATCTATATCTTTTCTAAGTTTACTGTTTCTGCCCTCATAAAAAAATATCGTACTTGAAGAAGTATCCACAAAACAAACCTCTTTTGGTATGTTGTAAATAAAATTCCTTTTATTAGAGAAATAATGAATGAAAATACTAAACAGCCATACATACTTTTTAATATTTTGCCCAGTAATGAGACTGTTTATATGCTGAATTATTGGTTGACTTGTATTTATTATGTTGTTTTACAGTTGAGGCGTCTTCAGAGCACCTTGGTAGTAGCAGAGCACAACAATGAAGTTCTGTCACCGGCCACACAGAACACTTTGAGTGCTGCCAAGAAGATTGGTGGTGATGTGGCTGTGCTGGTAGCTGGCACCAAATGTGGACCCGTGAGTTACTTCATAAGAAAAAATAAACATTCACATAAAATTCCTTAGTTAGTTTAAGGTATAAAAATGTTCAATCATTGACTATTTTTATTTCTATTTCCAGGCAGCCCAAGCAGTAGCTAAAGCAAATGGCATTTCCAAAGTGTTGGTAGCTGAAAGTGATACATTCAAGGGCCTCACTCCTGAGACTCTGACCCCTCTCATCTTGGCCACCCAGAAACAGTTCAACTTCACCCACATTCTGGCCCCAGCCACTGCTTTCGGCAAGGCTGTTCTACCCAGAGTAGCTGCCAAACTTGATGTCTCACCCATCACTGATATCATTGGAGTTAAGGATGCTAACACCTTCATCAGAACTATCTATGCAGGTAAAATGGCTAAATTAAACATGTTTGAGCCATTTAAATAATTTGAATTACAATACTTGCATTACTACAATACTTACATGTGAATAGCAATGCTTCTTTTGCAATTTATATCAGCACCTTTTTTGCATAAAATCTACTTCTTGGTTGGCTTTGTCATTCATTGGATTTTGCCGTCGTAAAGTGATTTAACCCGTTGAAATTCATCCCTTAAATTTTTTATACAAAAGTAGTCTCTAAACATTGGAAATAAGGTCTATAATGTAGTTAGTGGAGAGCGGTCACCGGTGACTGCTTGAGGATGTATGGGTTAAATATCTTTATGCCATAACAAGGAGATTAGAATTAGTGATGAAATAATTTTTTAATTCTTTCAGGTAATGCAGTCCTCACATTGGAAGCTAAGGATGCTATCAAGGTGATCACTGTCCGTAGCACAGCATTCCCTCCTGAACCCCTGGAAGGTGGCTCTGCAGCTGTAGACAAGGCACCAGAGGGTGACTACAAGACTGACCTCGTACAGTTTGTCTCTCAGGAGCTTGCCAAGTCTGACCGACCTGAACTCACCAGTGCCAAGAACATTGTTGCGGGTGGTAAGATCACAGTTTTATCAAAATTATTTCAGTACATACATATTTCACATAGAAGCATCTCTTTTGGACTAGTTGCCAAATTTTCCAATAGGAAATTTGTTAGTTGCCAATTCATTTAATTTCAATGAAAGATGTAATTTCTGTGTGATGTGTATAAGTAAGTTTGAACTACGTCCTACAACAAATCTTTTGTAGAATTAGAGGCCATCTCTTTTCCAAATAGGAGTTTTTACTTTACAGTTTCTGTGTAACTGCAATCCACAAAATCAATTAATAACCCATAGCAATTACCAGCCAGATATTACAGGAGGCTATTGGGGACTAAATTATATTGGCTCTAAATCGATTTGAATGTTTTCAGGTCGTGGTCTGAAGTCAGGCGATAACTTCAAGTTATTGTATGACCTTGCCGACAAGTTGAACGCCGCAGTGGGTGCCTCCAGAGCAGCCGTAGACGCTGGCTTCGTAGCCAACGACCTGCAAATCGGTCAGACCGGCAAGATTGTTGCACCTGTAAGTAAAGCACTTTAAAAATAAAATCATAGTATATTAATTTATATACACAATACAGACTTATGCTGAACTGAAATCATGAGCAACTACCATGCTTTAAGTAAAAAAATGAACTAATAAATAGTTTTAGTAAAACAGCCCCGTAAAGACTTTTTATTTAGGTATCTGACACATTTTAAAAATCACTTAAGTATCTTAAATATTCTAATTTTCTTTTTGTAGGATCTATACATCGCTGTAGGTATCAGTGGTGCTATCCAGCATTTGGCTGGTATGAAGGACTCCAAGACTATTGTCGCTATCAACAAGGACCCTGAAGCACCTATCTTCCAGGTAACATGACTGACAATAATACAAAAATAAGAAGGCAACAAAATATTAATTTCATAAAAAAATCTGTATTTTCAGGTTTTAAAAAATATAAAAGTGCTATAGCTATTTGGCAAAGAATTTGCTTTGTAATTATTAGAAGTCTTGAAGCTGACAGTGCTAAATTAAATCTATTTAGACGCGCCTTCATTATTTACGTAATCAATAAAAAATGTGCGTTACATACTCTTACTAGCCAATTACTTCGTTACTCTAGTTATCTATAAATGTCAACAAGTCAAGGCTGTATAGTTTTTTATCAGTGCCTTATCTGCCTCGTAACAAATGAACGCAGATCCATATTGATTGGTGTATCAAATTGTTATTACATTGATTTAAGAAGGAAATTAGTTGTTACGCAATTGTATTAAAAAAGGTAATTTATAGAAACTGTATTTAAAATTTTTTTTCATGAATATTGTAAATGGTAAAGTATTACCGAATTCAACCGAAGACAGACAAAAAAAGAAGCGTCAAAACCATATTCTTGTGATTTTTGTTTAAAAAAAAAATATAGCTTTTTAACCCGAATTAAAATATTAAATTCTGTTTTTTTTAAAACTGGAAAAGCAAAGACTTTTTCACCTGGATATCGAAACGGGACGTTAGTTTTCACAAATATAGCTTTTTTTACCTAAATACTATTTTTTTTCCAGGTCAGTGACTATGGTCTGGTAGCCGATTTGTTCAAGGCGGTTCCTGAGCTCACTGGCAAGCTGTAAACCATTAAGATATAAAGAAAGAATGAAGTATATAGTCCAACCATTTTAGACAAACTTTTTATTATTCTTGTATACAGAACTTTACACTCCTCCGAGATTTGTAAACATTTTATTGTTGATCAGTAATTTATCATGTGTAAGCGAAATGTGAATAAAGATTGTTACAATAACAACTGCCTTTCATTTGTTCTTTGGCTTTTAAGTTAATAAACCTTAATAGAGACTAGTCTGTTGATCTGGATATTGACTGTTAGGGAGGGTTTTTGGGCTGTAATTGATGACGGGGATTTAAAGGTATAGGTACTGGTTTATATCACGGTAAGTAGGTATGTTCTTGACAAAAATACATATATACGGCGCGCGACGCATACAGCGCTCCCCGCTGGTCGAGTGAATAGTGTGGGTCGCGATCCTCGTACATGTACCTCGCTCCCTGCGGAGCGTTGTCCGCCCCTCTGCTCTGGTGCCACCGCCAGTGCCATCGCCGTCAACGTCATCGATATGTACGAGAGGTTTCTAAACAATAACCAAGGACTAATAATATAATCTACCATAACGATACCTAATATCTGTATTAGGTTTGTGAAAGCCACACTTTTCACAAATGACAGCAGAAAACAATGCTATCAAGTAAGAATACTAAATTTTCCTGACCACTATTTCTATTAAGACATGTATGTACGTTTTTATTTGCCCTATCCCAGAATTTTCTTAAGTGTTGGGGGTGCGTTTACAAACATACCACAAAGTCTCACATCAAACTTAGACCTCAGCTAGACATAGACTCCATCATGCATATCAATTTGTGGATCACAAAGAGTTGATCAGTGCGGGAATCGAACCCGCGATGCGGCATTATTGGTGCTGTATCCGTAGCCACCGGATACAGCATCAACAATATAGTCGATTTAATAATTTGTTCCAGTAGAGAATATGAAATAAACAAATATTATTTCATTTAGTACCTACTTAGGCGCGGTTCAGGTAACCTTTTTATTCGCTCTGAATATGGAGTGAAAAAATCGACATACACGAAGATATTCTACATTTCTGATTTTTGTCAGATGATTTTGTATCCAAAACTTTTATTTCATAAATTTTCTATAGAAATATTAAACTTATTACAACTTTTTCTAATTTAGTTCAGCTACTCGACAACAGATGGCGCTGACATCTTGTTATTAAGAATACATTCTTTGGTATAAATAAATTTTTAAAAATCTTGAGTTTATATATTTTATAATAATGTTTATTATTGACTAATTTAATAACATAGCAACTGATTAAATATTATCCCTACAAGGTTAATAACCTATGCATTAACTTCTCGATTTTTTAAATAGCGTTGTTTTTAAATTTAAATAATTGTAGATTCCTAACATATTTCAGTAAACGACTAATACAGGCAGGCGTTTTGTGTTTAATTTAAACCGTACAAATGGGTATATTTAGTAAGCAAGCATTAACTGAAAGAGATCTACCTATATAGGTAAGAAGAAGACTAGCTATCTATAGCGAGGTTTGTCTGAAGACGTCTACTTAGCGTGGTGCACGTTTAAACCAACAGGAGGTAAGTGCACAGTCAATCATTGCAGTAATGATAGTCCCAGGGGAGATGTGGTTTGTTGCGGACTGGCATTCTCGTTATCATATCTGAGGCAGCGGGCGGGGGCAGCAGGCGGGGCCTCGCAGCGCCCCGCCCAGCGCCGCCACGCCTGCGCGGCCACACCGCCCCGACACATATCATTAGCATTTAGCACTATCGAACATGCCGCGACCCTCGCGTGAATCGTACGGCGACCAGAAGCCCCCGTACTCGTACATCTCCCTGACGGCGATGGCGATCTGGAGCTCCCCGGAGCGCATGCTGCCGCTGTCGGAGATCTACCGGTTCATCACGGACCGCTTCCCGTACTACCGGCGCAACACGCAGCGCTGGCAGAACTCGCTGCGGCACAACCTCTCCTTCAACGACTGCTTCGTGAAGGTGCCGCGCCGCCCGGACCGGCCCGGCAAGGGCGCCTACTGGACGCTGCACCCGCAGGCCTTCGACATGTTCGAGAATGGCTCACTGCTTAGGAGGCGCAAGAGGTTCAAGCTGCACACTGAGCAGAAGGATGGCTTCAAGTCGGAACTGGCTGCGTTGGCGAACTTTAATAGACGTTTTCTAGCTGATCAGTTGAATATGCGGGCTCTACCAGTGAAAGCGTGTGACGTACCAGTGGCTGCTACTCCTTGCAAGGTGACTGGATCAAAGGAAAGTTGGAGGAAGTCGTTCTCTATAGACAGTTTGTTAAGTAGTGCAGTGGATAAGTCGAGTGTGGAGGACAGTAGGAGCGCGGCATGTGCGCCGGAGTGGTACAGGCCGGAGCTGGCGGCGCTGAGTGCGGCCATGTGGCCCTCCATGTACCCTGCCTCGCCACTGGAACACCTCCAGCTAACAGTGAACTTTCAGAATATTATCGACAGTCTGCACTATTACTTCCAGCGACCGCTGAATTCAGTGTAACTGTTTATGTGACGTTAGATTGAAATTAAGCAGTTAGTGGGCTTACGAACTCGTACATTTCAAAATACATACCTACATCTATTACTACTTATTTAGAAACATAGGAATTAGAAGAAAATGTGTGAAATAAAAATTATGAAACGTTATTACCAGGTGTACAGAATGGACTCAAGGTGTTCCTCAGGGCTCAAAGTAAACCAACTGGAATTATGATTTATTAGGTATAATGTAATGATGTGGTAATGTGTTAAAAATATATGTAGATATTTAAGTGCTAAATTGTGTATAAAATATACCTACCTTTAGATGTTGCATATTTATTTATATTTTATAGTAATTTAGTTAAATAATTGTAGAATATAGAATAGATAAGGTAAATGTAGACTACCTTCATGTGAAATACTTAACTTTAAAGATATTGAAGAAAGCAATGTAAATAAAGGAGATGACGACTTATTTTTAATTAGGTAAGTATTTAAAATGAATGAAAACATTTAAATAACTCTGTTTAACTAAGTACAGTTAAAAATATCCTTAAAATTTTATTGTTTCAGTTGTTTGTTATTTCATCAGTGCCAAGTACTTAGTTATTAAAATAAAATTATTTCGATACAAACTGTTTTATCATTTCGGGTTCTATCAATTGTTGTTCCGGGTCTGGGTGTCATTGTGTATGTGAATTTGTATGTTTGTAAACGCACCCACGACACAGGAGAAAACCCTAATGTGGGGCAACGCAAACAAAAAAAACATTTTTTTGATAACCAAACCACAGACCTACCTATATAAACTCCATTACCTACAGTGACAGGTCATCAAGCGACTTTACAATATGTGTATTATACTACTTAGGTACTAATAATTTCAAACACAATTAAAGAACAATAGGTCGCGGTCACCGGTGACCGCTTGGTGTTTGACAGTTTAATTCATAGAATTTTTATACTTTACTTGAAACAAAATAATACTGAAACTTCGATGTAGGTAAAGAGGGCTCTAGGGACTCGTAAGTTGATGTGCCTGTTTACACAACCATTTACCAACCCTGCTCTATCCAAAAGGCAGGTGATATCTGACAGTGAACCATTTTATATAGATTTTATAAAATTAATATACGAGGTTAAATTTTAAACATGTGATAAATCGCCTCCCTTAAACTCGTTTAAGCTTCAAAAGGGGGATGGTAATATAATCGGCGGAGTCGACTGGCGTGACGTATACGTCATGTTTTGTTATTTATGTTTAAAGAAACGAGCCGGGGGCTGTTTTAGTAATTAATATAGAGAAATGGGTAAATTGAGTGCCGTTTACCCTCGGGCGGTCGCGCGGTTTTTTTAAGAAATCTATGTACCTGTGTTGTAGTATGAAGTATGTACCTTATGACGCATTGTATGACCTATTTTCATAACACTTTACGTGTGAGACGACCTCGTTATGGCAAACCACATTCATGAAAATGTGTCATGTGTACCTAAATGGACCTAAAATATACCGTTTACATCAATTTGGCGATGACAAAAGTCAAAAAGTAATATGTGGTTTGAAAGTAAGGATATGCTGCCCTGCTTGAAAATTGTATATTTTTAGATAGTTACACTAAAATGGCGCTAATCGCTATTTAGTCGGTCGCCTTAAGGTAATAAATTTCTTTAATAAATAAAGTAGAAATCGAATAAACCACGAAACTAACTATGAATCATTATCAAATAATGTATGTATGCTTCAAATGTAGGTACATTAAGTAGTAGAGTGTGCTCGACTGTACATTCGAGACGGAGGCAGCGCGGGCGCAGTGTCCGTGCGTGAAAAATACTAAAATTAAGTTAGTTATAAAATCAATTAATGAAAGTGTGATTATTTTTTAATATTTATTGTATCATAATAAATTATTTCGTCAACAGTCGAAATAATTTATTTTTGATTATGGCAAGTACCCAAATACTACAAATGCCCACTACTAGCCTTGTTTAATGAATGATTGAGATTTCATGTGATTGGTTATATGTTATTTAATCATTAGGTACGATTAAATGGTGGTCAATGTCTGGATAATTATTGTATTTATTTTCCGAAAGCGTAAGCTGAGATACTTAACATTTTCAAACTCCGTACGTAGGACTAACTAACTCCATACGGATCATCTGATGGTAAGCAATCGGTATCGCCCATAGATACGTGAAACATCAGAGGCGTTGGAAGTGCATTACTGGTCTTTTGGGTATTGGGAATTTGACGATTGTTGGGAATTCGGGGATTGGGAAGACTGGGGAGGGAGGTAGTTGCGACTCGGGTTACGTCACTCACACGGCGAAACACAACGCAAGCGTTGTATTACGTCGCTTTTCTGTGAGGCCGTGGTATTACTCCGGTCGAACCGATCCATTCGTGTCGAAGCATGGCTCTCCCACACTTAAGGTTAGGTACCCAGATTACCTAATTGAGCGGCGTTTCCCATCTGACTACATTAGGGTAACACCGAAGCCAACTCAGA